GCTGCACTGTTCTGATTCATGTACTCCTTGACAGAAGTCTCAAAGGATTGGGACTTCCCTTCACCCTTATCCCAGTTTTGTTGGTTCTGCCTGGGATACGGGAGTCGGTTCTGGTAGTTTCCTCCACTATCTCCAGCATTATTCTGATTCCTCCAGCCTCGGTTATTGTTTCCTTGATAGTTGTCATTGCTCCTGATGTTGTTGTCATACCCTCCTGCATAGCATACAGCAGCTAGATTGTTACAGTCCTCATATTCATGAGGACCTCCACAAGTGGGGCAACTCTGACTTGTTTGAGTCAAGAGAAGTTGCTCAGTTGGTTTTTTCTGTTCCATGGGCTTCCAGTTTTTTATAGTGTTCTGGAGCGAAGCCATTTGTGCTGAAAGAGCATCAGCTGAGCTTAGCTCAAGAACTCCTGCTTTCTTAGGAGCACTGTGTCGTGTGGAAGGCCATGAAATATGTTTTTTTGAAAGTTTTTCCAACAACTGGTAGGTTTCTGGATAAGTAAAATCCAAAAGATCTCCCCCTGCAGCTGCATCAACAGTTGCTTTCAATGGTGGGGTTAAGCCATGATAGAACGTGTGAATGATGCCCCAATCAGAAACTCCATGATTCGGACAAATTCGTATCAACTCTTTAAAGCGTTCCCACGCTTCATACAGACTTTCTCAATCATACATTTGAAAGGAAGCTATATCAGCCCTCACTTGGGCTTGTTTTGCTTGGGAGAAAAATCGGGTAACAAACTGTTCCGCCAATTGCTCCCAACTGGTGATGGAGTTTGGGGGCAATGTTCTCCTCCATTCTTTGTCTTTTCTAGCTAAGGAAAATGGAAAAAGCCGCATCCGCATGTTTTCTTCCGAAATACCGTGAACTTTGAAATTATCAACTATCTCAGTGAAATTGTCCAAATGACTGTGAGGGTCTTCCATGGGCAGTCCATGGAACTGACCAGCGTTCATAATCATTTGGAACATTGCAGGTTTTATTTCAAAGTTCGGGATATTCAAGGGAGGGGAACATACCCTCGTTCTGGACCATTTCTGAAGGGAGCAGCCATATCATTCAATGATGGCCCTCTTCCTTCATTCGGTCCTTATTCAGGCTCATGATTATGATTTCCATTGTTATCATTGTTTACAACCTCCTCCATTATAATGTTTCTCAACCTTTGAATTCTTCTTCTATTTCTGAAGGTTCTCTCGGGTTCTGGATCAAAAAGTACTATTTCCAGTCCAAGTTCTGTAGGTTATGTGCTCATACAAATGGAGGAGGTCTATCAAAACAAAAAGACTGCAAATTAAACAACAAAAATGTTTCCTTAAAAACGCACTTTCTTGCCAAATGATCCCCGGCAACGGCGCCAATTGCTTGGTCGAACCGAAAGCTGCTCGGGAATATCTTTTCAGAGAGCAAGAGTGCAGAGTAATAATTAGGATTGCCAACAGGAGCAATCTACTCTGACTAAGAGCAACTCTCTTCAACTATACGCAAGCGTACGTGTCAAACAATATAGGGTATTGTAGCCCCAGATTTATCGTCCTCAGGGAGCAGTTGTGAAGTAAGAAGCGCTAAAGGAAACTTAATTTGTAAAATGGAGCAAATAAAGAAAGTATTATTCTCAGCTAAGCTTCACAAAGAGCAATCTCTGGGCAGCTAGTTAAACAATGTTAACCATTCTGAACCAGATGAGAGCAGTGAATGACTTAGCACGGTCATCGAATAAAAAGGCATCAATTTAAGTAACTTCAAGAGCAGTCAACGAAATGAAAGTAAGAGCATCAGCTGGTAAAACACAGTTCAGTTATCGTGAGGAAAAGGTTGTGATAGAAGTTTGAGTTAAGATTAATTTCAGAAAAAGTCAAGTAGGTGTTACGGGTTCCATGTTTTCATCCCTTTGGTTAACCTTGCTTGGTAGCATAGTTTACAAGTGGATTTTGCTCCTTCCCTTGCTTTGCTATAGGTAAGCAGAGGGTAAGGCCTTACTCTCCACGTTACTCCATAGTACTTGGAGTTATATGCAAGGAAACCATGCTGCCTTCTCAAAAGAGCATGGATTCACATGGCAGTGCTCCCCATTCCAGGTGTTTCTCCCTCCTTTCTTCAGGCTAAACTACCCCAGGATCTTGATAATGCTCCACACGCCTTTGTCTGTGTTTCATCAACCGAGTGGTCCCGGGATGAGGTTGCCAGCCCAAAGGGTTTCACAAAATCAATAAATTAAACCAAAGAGCAACTCAAAATTCATTTATAAAATATGTGTTCCTTACAAAGTTATCCTAAGACAAAAGGGATTACTTCTATGGAACCCTCACCTACTTAGAGGAAGTTAGATCCTAGTGAGCATTTTTACAAAAAGAAAAACAAAGAGATAACGAGTCCTAGGATGGGCGCTGATCCCCTTTTATATGAGGATTGCTTGTTCCTTTTATAGGGTTCTTCATTTGATCTCCATTGTTCCTTTCATCAAGGGTCGTGCTTTGTTTAAATCCTCTCCAATGGTAGCTTTGCTTCTTGCCAGCTCAGCTCCGAATAGAGATCCTCTCCAATGGTAGCCTTGCTTTTTGTCAGTTTGGCCTTAAATGGAGATGGTCCCCCTTGTTTTTGGCTCCCTTTGTGAGTAGGGGTATCGGATTCAGGGAGGCACCTCCACTCCTTCTGCTGCAGCTGACGTGGCTGCTTTTGATTGCTCAGCTCCTTTGCTTTCGTCCTGTAGCAGAGGTAGCACCTCCACCTTCTCTGCTGTGGCTGACGTGGCGGCTTCCCATTGCTTCCTTTGACTGTTGTTGTACTACAACAGGCTTTTTTTTCTTTCTGCGCAACACTCCTTCTTCTCTCTTCATTTTGTGGTTCCTTCTGATGGGCCTTAGGTGTCCTGAACAAAGCAAACTAACCCAATAGTCATATGTGAAAAAGATAATGTTAAATTTGCTCCAGGTCTACCTTAATTCCCACTTTCGGTATTGCTCTGGTCCACTATTCAAAACAGTTGCTCTATATGGAAAGAAGAAGGTTGAAGGGAGTGATTTATAACCAAACATGAGTTTTGTGGAACAATTTACACTTAATGAGCCTCAACTTTTGAGGACCATCACCCACCATGACACTCACAAGTTTTTTTTTTCTTCTTCAGGTGAGTGTCACGACTCCCTCCGGCACTCACATGATTGTGCCAAGTTGCACAATCCCGTTAGTCTTGTTACTATAAAACTTCGAAAGATCGTAATTTTTGATTCGAGTATCCCAATCAAATGATTTTTTTATTTCACATAACTTTTCGAGATATACCCAATGACACCTCATTTGACATATTTTATCTTCCATAAACATAGTTCAAATTTGTAACAATAGTTTCATAATCGCAAGAGCGTTTAAATCCAAATTTTGGCAAGAAGAGATAGAAACCCTTAATTTGTTTAGCTTCCTCGATTTTTAAATCAGTTTTGTTGAAATTTTAATTAATTGAATTTATATATGTTAGAATTGCAGCATCAGCTCTTCGAGACAATAGTTAATTTCAAAATTTGTTTTTGTGAAGAAAATAAAACGAAAAAAAGTGGTAGCAAAAATGGAAAACCCTAGCAGCAGGGAAAGAAGGAACAAAGCAAGCATAAGTGATAACATGTTGGCCATGCTTGATGCCTCTGAAGCTCTGTTTGTGGTACCATTATTACAAATTCGAATTATAATTGTGAGAGACAAAATATGTCAAATAAGATGTTAATACATAGATCTTGATAAGTTATGTGCAATAAAAAAAATATCTAATTTGAATACTCGAGTCAAAAACTATGGCCTTCTGAAATTTTACAGTAATTTAAAATAATCGTGTAAGTGCTCGGGGGGTCGCGACACTTACATAAAAAAAAAGTGAGTGCAGTGGGGGGTCACCACACTCAGTACCGCTAGGCCTCTCCCGCGGCCCTGAACAATCCCCATTAATAAATATCGGGAATCAAATATCAATTTGGTATATTAAAAATTCAAAAACTCCTCATCGGTCAAAGAGCCCACGAGAGTGCGCTGATCACAATTGATTCTTCATATTATTATCCATTAAACAAATTTATATTCGGAATTTCTCTTAATCTTATATAAAAGTGTAGAGAATAAATTTGGTAGAGAATAAATTTTTTTTTACTAGAGAAATATAATTACTAGAGATATGGTGGGAAAAGAAATTTGGTAGGAAAATTAAAAAAAATATTTGGTTGGCAAAAAATTTATTGGAAAAATTGAGTAGAATTTTATAAGTCTATGTTTGGTTGAAGATAAAATATTAATGAAAAAATGAGGTAAGATTATCAAATTAATCCCTTTTTAATTTTTGAATGTTTACACCTCTACTCCAAATCCACTCTCCTCCAAATTATAGAAGGTTATCTTTGTCATGCTTTTGTTTCCCACTTCTCCGTTTAGCCATTCATCTTGCAATACCATCTCCAAACTGGCATTTTGACATAGTGCATTAGATCATTTTTTTAAAACAATTCTAAAAGTCTAGGCAAGTAGGTTTGTTACCAATATTCTTAAAATTTTTGAACCAAACACGGATCACACAAAATCCTAATATGTAATGCCTATGCATCCTCTAAGAAAACTTGAATCAAACACCTCCTAAGAGAGATTATATTTACGATATCGTTTACTCACAACTAAATTTTAATCATTAATTTCTATCAATTAATGATTATAATTTATTGAGTCATTTTTATTAATTAATTATTAATTTTAAATAAATTATAAACATTAAATTAACGAAAAATAACTATTAAGATTTGATTATAAGTAGTTATAATCGAAAAGAAATCGTAAATATAATTTTTTTCTTTAAATATTTTTAATTACCTTGTTAAAACTATTATTTTTTCTCAAACAGAATATTATTTTTTTTTGTTATAATTAATTCGGTTGAGCCGGCAAAATACAAAAAAAAAAAAAAAAACGCCGTGAAATTCTTCCGATCAAGTTTCGATATCAGAAAAAGAAAAAGAACAAAAGATCACAAATCATCTTTTTGAATCTGATGAAGTTTCGATATCAGAAAGGGAAAACAACTCTCTGTATCCAATCTCAAGAGTAACAACCTCAACACACTCTTGTTCTCTTTGTTCGCGTTGAATGAACACTGTGATTTTCTGAATCTGAAGTGAAGTGAAGGCATGGCTGATAGCGATAGTGATAACAATAGAGCTAAACTTAGAACACGCCCAATCGTGCGGTTAGGGCTCTTTCTTATCTCTCACAGTACTTTCGTCAGGTAAACTCTCTCTCTCTATCTTCTTCTTCTTATCTGTGTTGATTGATTTGGTTTTGATAAAACGATCCTCTTCGCAGTGTCGTTTGTTTCATTGCAGGGATCGTGGCTCTTCTTCTTCTCCCTGTCCTCGCCAAGAACATCTACATTTCCGAAAATGCCCTCATGCCAGGTCCAAATTACTATCCTAACCTACCTTTCCTTTTTCCCCCTTCTTCAGTTTCATTGTTCTCATTACTAACTACTTTTTTTTTTGTGTGTGTGTGTGTGTGTGTGCAGGTTCTGCAAAAAACATGCTCTCTTCTCACGATGTCTCTGATGCAATTAAATTCATCAACGACTTAACTGATTTCGAGTTCAGGTCCAAAGGCTCATCCATGTAACTAACTTACTTTGGATTTTCAATTTTTCTTTTATCATTTCACTTTACATGTTACACTCTCTTTCGTCGTGGAAAATGGAAATCACTGTGAATGATGCTAGTCATGAACTGAACTAACGTTTTTAGTTGAATTGGTTCTAAATTTATATTAATACTTTGAACATTCAGTTATGCAATTTCTAATTTATTTTCTTCATATTCTTATGTATACATAACTTCTTTATTCTCCCACTCCCTATTTATGACAGTCAAATTTGAGTACTCCTTATTACATACTTCTTTGCTAAAATTAGAAATAAAAAAGTGAGTGGAGTAAATGCATTTAAATGAATCATCTCTAAAGATAAGTATAAAATCATTAATGTAGCTTCACTTAACAGATTAAGCTTTTGGGTTGAATTGGTTCTTTACAATCTCTTTCTAATTTTAGTGGATGTAGCACTAAGTGCTCTGGAAGTACTGAAAATATTTTCCTATTTATGCAACTTTCCTTCCACGTTGTTAATCTTAGCATTTGGTGAAGCCTTTCATCCTATTAATATCAAAAGAGATTTCAGACGAATATACAAGAAAAAGAAGTAAAATATTTGCCGTGTTTTTCAATGCAGTGAAAGTCATGAACTCATTGCACAATATATGTCAGGCTTGGATGCTGAAGTTGCTTATCACAAGTTCTACCCTCAATTGGATCAGTTCAATCCACTGCACTTTTTTACCAGTCCTGATTCAGGTATAATCTCAAAAAATACAAGTTGTTCATCGCTCGGAATCAATACTGTTGGAATTATTAGAGCGCCAAGAGGGGATGGCAAGGAAGCTATTGTCTTGGTAACGCCTTACAATCCGAAGAAAATTGATCCGGGGGAAGCTTTGTCTTTGGGCATTGCATACTCGGTATTCTCACTGCTTTCACGGGTTACTTGGCTGGCAAAGGATATCATATGGCTTGTGGCTGATTCACAATATGGAGAATATTCCGCAGTGGCTGCTTGGCTAAGAGAATATCAGGCCCCTGTTTTCTATGGAGTTGACATAGGTAATAGTGAAACATGTAATGATAACAACACCATTAATGAATTTGGACAGAATCTTTATTTGGATAGAAAGTTATATGGTGGTTTTAGACGTGCTGGAACTATGGCTGCAGCTCTTGTAATTAAAGTTGCAGAGCAAGCTAACCATTTAGAAGACAGTCTTAATATTTATGCTGAGGCGTCCAATGGGCAGATGCCAAACCTCGACCTCATCAATATTGTAAATTATCTAGCAGTGCATAAACAAGGTTTGCGGATAAAAGTGAAGAAGATGTGGTCTCTAATTGGCTCCAGGTGGCTCAATACTTTGGGTGTTGTATTTGAATCTCTGGGAAAAATCGCTAGAAGCTTAAATCCTCAGTGGAAATTTGGTATTCCCGCTACTGAGTATGTTGAGGGCACTGCTACACTGGCAAGTTCATTGTATTACCAGGTTTTTAACTTTTACCCACCGTTTATTATATTATTCTGTGACCGCTTCATAAAAATTTTCTTATCTGTGTATTATTCCTCTCAGGGTATGGGTGTTCCTACCGGTCCTCATGGTGCCTTCCGTGATTATCAAGTTGATGCAATCACTCTGGAAATTTCACCAAAAGTTTCTCTTACTAATAAAATGATCAGGCGTAATGAATTTATTCTCCTGGGTGGAAGGTATGTATCACTCATATGAGTTGTATTTGTAACAATCAAGGAATAAATGGCTGACATCGATGTAATCATGTAGAAGTTTTTACAATTTTTAAATCTTAAGTATATGGTGACGTCCTTTTGTTCATGTTTGCCATTTAGTATCAAGAAATTGTATGAAGTTATATATATCTTGTACTTGTTTTTAGAAATAAATAAAAAAGTGATAGAAGTCTGGATAAATTATTTGATACTAGGAAAGTTGAAGAAACTCCAAAACAGTATTTTTATTAAAAAAAAAAAAACCGTGTGGTGATTTTTGAGAGAGTTGGTTACTTGACATGATATCATAGCCTATGATCAAGTGGTCTAGAGTTTGATTCTTATCGCATCTATTCATCTAATATTTTTATAAATTGTTAGATAAAGAAAATTATTGAAACCTTTACATCATCAACATCAACTTAAGCAACACCTATATCCCAAACTAGTTGGGGTCTTCAAATCTTTAACATGACAAATTTAATTGGGTGGTGATTTTATATCCTTTTGTTTCTTTCACCAATTGAGGGAGTTGTGTTGGTGATGGTGAACATGAAAAGCTTTTATTTCTATAGAATGTTATTTAGCTTTAACATATTTTAAACTTGCATAGTACTCTTTATGTATTTTATATTAAAGCGCATAGTCAAAAGATCTTTCCTTCTTTGTTTGATCATTGTGAGCAAAGTGTTTCCTACTTGTTTCAGGTTGATTGAAGGAGTCATACTCTCAATAAACAACCTTCTTGAGAAGTTTCATCAGTCATTCTTTTTGTATCTTTTGACATCCCCTGGTAAGTTTGTGTCAGTTGGAGTTTACATGATTCCATTTGCGTTACTTGTTGCACCACTTCCAATAGTTGCGGCATCTCTCCATGCTGATGCTAATAAATCCACTCTCCAAGCCACATCTGCCTTTGAAGTTGATGTCAGCCGTGAATCTTGGGAATGGCTGAACTCGGCTAGAAAGGTTTTGGTCTTTCATTTATGGGGTGCTGTTGTCTCCTTACTCCCATATTTCTTATGTCGAATACCCAATACCACGCCAACAATAAACTTTATAGTGTGGGGTTTGCTATCAGCTTTTAGCCTCATAGTTTTATACTTGATATTGGGTTCTCCAGTTTTTGAAGATGCTGCGTCTCAACCTGAGAAAAGCGAGTGGGCTAGCTTAAAGTCTGTAACTATATCAACTGCTTTCATTGGTTTGTCTCTCATGTCAGTTATTAACTTTGCTACAGCAGAAATTGGGGCTTTACTTATTGTCCCAATTTGTTTGATGGCTCGACCATTGAAGCTTGATACTAAAGCTAGGAGTTTGAGAACCTTACTAAGGGCCACTTGTAACCTTGCTTTAGGTTTTATTGGGTTTCCTCCAGTTGCATATATGTTACTGAAAGCTGCATTTGAAGATTTTCATGGTATTAATGTTGGTGACTATTGGAACTGGGTCGAATCCCTTTGGGCGTGGAACAGTGCTACTTACCTCTATGTAGGTATTGTTCACCTACCATGCTGGGCACTGTGCATTCACATTTTATTTCATCATTGTTGACATGTACTATTATTTTTTTTGGAGATAATGTACTATTAGTTAGTTGGACAAGTAATTCATACAAGAAATTTATCATCTTGATGTTTATGTTTTTCTTTGAGTTTGCTTTTTCTGCAGTTACTGCAGATAAATTATCTGCAGTAAATCCGATACGACGTTGTTTTAGAACAGAAATCGTGATGTTTTTATAATTTTAATTTATTTCAGGGTTATAATAATCTTTATTTTTATAATTCTTTAAGATTTCAATATCAAAACGATGTCGTTTTGAAAATAAATGCAGATAACTTATTTTCAATAACTCTACTAGAAATATTTTTCCCTTTTTCTTTAATGCATATCATTCTTCTCGGCTTGTAATACTTTATAATTGGGCCATGAAGACATTTGGGCATTAGGGAAGGAGACTGTTTGGTGGCGACTGTTAAATTTTATCCATTGATCTTGATATCCATACGTCTGAAGTGTGAATGCACCGAACGAACTATACAACGACAATGTTATTAAATCCGGACAGGTGATCGACTCGATTGGGGGTATCGGATCAGTAAGTCACTGATTTAATTGTACTAATCGAATATGTATATAAATTTATATTTTATATTTAATTATATAATAAATATTTTAAATGGTGCAAGTGAACCAAGAATTAAATATAGCTTAGTGATAAATACTATAATTTATATCTTCAAGCATTCGATTTCCACTAGATGTAATTTTGAAATAATTGATAAATAGTATATATTAACTAACAAACAAATTCAGCCTAGTGGTAAGTTGTTGGATATTCCCATGAGATACGAGTTCGAATTCCAGTGACTCCAACATTGAAAATATTTTTTCCAAAATCAATTTGCCGATTGAACTGCGATTAACGACCGGGTCAATATTGGGCTAATAGCATATTCAATCCATTGCAAGAATCGAATCGATTTTCCACCGGTCGGGCCGGGTCCATTTTAATATCACTGATCCAATGGGTGTAAGGTTTTTTGGGGAGAGATTTGGTTCCCTTGGATATTTAAATGTTTAATTTGGTAAAAAATGAATTTGTTTCTTAGGTGATAGGAATTTGAAGAAATGCCAGTCTTTTCAGAATGATTGATAAAGGCATACTGTTCAATAATCTTTTTAGAATGAATACAGAAGGCAATGAAGCACATACTTGGTGATCAAGTTTGACTCGCACAAAGATCGTCCCAATTTGACATGAGTGAACTCGTTATTCACCTTAAGAAAAAAAGAAAAGAAAAAGTGTAAGACTTTACCAAGTGTAAGACTTTGAGCCAAAACGAGCACATCAATTTACTTATTAGAAACTATTCTCAACTAGCAAATTACATAAATAAACAAACATTTTTTCTCATGCCAATTAGGTTAGTACTAATTACTGATTTTCTTAAATATTCACTCTTTTTTTACCTCTTGGCATAGGGGTTGAATAATCTTTCTTTTAAAACATTCATCAATTATGATAAACTTGTCATTCAAAAAAAAAAAAAAAAAACTTTACAATAAGTAGGTGTGACTTGCATTTAACCGCAGATACCACCAACGAAGTAAGGGTATTATGGATTCAATTCGACTTTATAACTCGTCTTGATCCAAAGCTATTCAGTGAAGTTTAGATCTTGAAAACTAGCTCTACTGTGCTTTCGGGTCAAGTTTTAGATCATGATTCAAGTTGGCTCAACCGATCTGATAGTACATGATATATTGAAATTTAAATTTTTAAAAATAATTATAAATTGGAGTTTGTTAGCTTAAATTAATGCATTTTACAAATATGATATAATTTTATATTAGCATAATTTGTTAACGTAAAATATTTTTTAGTTTTAATTTATTTATTTTTTTACTTTTAAAATTTGACACAATATTTTTTTTTGGCATAATACTTAAATGTGTACATTTGTTTAAAATATCAGGTTTGATCGGTCATGTTCAGGCAAATTCAAACTTAGCAGATTAGTTCTTTACAACAAAAGTTGGATATGGTATAATAAGCTGAGTTATATTCTTAAAAAAAAACACATCCAAACCTTAAGAAGGTAAATATCAGCAAAAACTTTGTATTCACAAAAGTACTTAGAGTTAAAAAGATGTGATCTAATATATTAAGATAAATGTTAATAATACAATTATTTTAATACACGTTTTATTATTAAGTAAATTTCACATGGATCTTCCTAAATAATATATATATATATATATATATATATATATATATATATATATATATATGGAAAAAATATTTATCCTTTTAAATGACACAACTTATATCCTTTCACTCTCACAAAGAGGTGAGATCCACATCTTTATATTTTTTTGTCCACTCTCTCTCCTCCTTTATCTATCTCTTTCTCTCACTTAAAATGACACAATTTTATATCCTTTAAAATGATACACACTTTTTTCATATATATATATATATATATATATATATATATATATGAGAAAATATACTCTTATGTTGTAAGAGAGTATTTTTCTCTCCTACACATACATCGATTTCCATATTGTTTTTTTTTCTTTCTAAAAGTGAATGAATTTCACACATGATTATCTCTATAACATAAGAGAACTTCTCTTCAGTTGCAAGATTAATAAAGCCATATATATATATATGGGGCAGGATCCTTTGACACCGATGTCGAATTTAAAGTTTGACACCTCATATAAGAGCCATTAGATCAAAAAAGATCAATGATGTCACATGCTTACAAATCAGAGTCGTTGATCTTTTTTGATCTAATGGCTCTTATATGAGGTGTCAAACTTTAAATTTGATACCGGTGTCAAAGAATCCTGTCCCTATATATATATACACACACGCACATTAACTCTTTATTTAGTAACACTTTCATAAAACTCAATCAACAAGAAGAATTACGATGAAAAGAGAACGTCACATTAATTTGTTTGTAGTATTAATCATCTACTAATATTTAATACTAACTCATTGCGTTTGATCAAAGTGCCCCCAACAAATTGCTAATCATTAATCGGTTAAAACAACCTCCACTAGGTACGAACACCTACTTTCATCCCTACCATACGCAAAAAGCCATGCTACAAATCCACCAAACCATTGTGCGCAATCAAAATTGGTTGGAAACTCAAAGTCCTCAATATTACAGAAAAAAGGGTTTCAATTTTTTTCTTTTACTAAGTCTCACAACTCTCAAATTCTCCATTACGTAAATAAATTTAACCCAAAAATTTAAATTATTAGTTTATTTTATATTAATAACTTTATATGTTTTTAATACTTCACATTATATAAGTGTTTCTTGGGTTTGAAAGGTATACAATCCATCGAGTCCTATCTATTCTAACAAGCTTCATAATATTTAATTATTTTTATTAATAAGATGGAGCTCTGTCTATGTTAACAAGTTTCACAATATTTAATTATTTTTATTAACATGATGAAGGATGGTGATGATTGAACTCATCATCATTTAGCCCGTGAGACTCTGATATCATATAAAAAAACTAATTCAACCGAATAACTTAAATTGTTGAGTAATGTTACATTAATAATTTTATATTTTTCTAACACAGTCGAGGAAAAAATAATATCTATGTGCAAATAATAATAATAATAGAGAAGTAGAAGTGTCATGTTACATAGCACAACTTCTTTTTCTTACATACTCAAAAAAACATGGCAAGCAACTCCGAAGGATAGCTCAGTTTGCAACTGAGCTTCTAAGGATTTGCTTGGGTCAGCGATTCAAACCTTATTTCAAGCAAATTTTTGAAAAATCTTTAGGGGCTAAAGGACGTGTCTCTTTTCTCGAAGAGGGATTAGTCTGGTAGCCTTCGGTCCTTACTCCGAAAACAAAATGATCGGAAGAGGTTGAATGAGAATTTATATCAAAAATAATAATATGGCAAGGAAAAATCAATAATAATAATAATAATAATATAATGGTATCTTAGTCACCTGCTTCACACGCAACTAGAAGTAGTAGTAGCAACTTTAGGACATCCCAACTGAGATGTTGGAAGAAGGAGACACTCCTCACTTTTCATACCCAAAACACAACCAAGCATTTCACACTTTTCCCACACACTATCACTCTTTCATTCTTCTCTCTCTCTCTCTTTTATTCTTCTTCGTCTCTCAGTTTCATTTCCAAATAATATGCTTTCCCTTGTAAGAGTTCACAAGAATCTTGAAGCTTTTTGCTCTTAGCTTCACAAGCAGCTTGCTTTTCTTTTTTTTTCTTTCTTTTTTTGTCTTTTATCCTGTTGGGGTGTTTGTATTGTTTTCTGGGCTAGTGTAGTTTTCCACGAATTAGCTCAAGTTTCCAGCGAAATTCTCAAGTGGGTTTCTATTTTATTATTATTATTATTATTGGGGTATCATGGATCTGGTTGGATCTTCTACTCCTGAGTCAAACAATGTTCAAGTCAACTCCAAAGTTTCGTTTTTTATGGTGTGATTAAGCTGCTGAATCAGTTGGAAATGGTGGGGCAGTTTTAGGTAGAAAAGGGTTAGGCTATAAAATATGAAGCGGAAAGTGATTCAGCAGAAATCTCAGCACAAATGGAAGAAGAAGCTTTTAGCTTTGATTTTCGTGGTAGTTTGTTTTGGAAGCTTGTTGTTTATGCAGACACGGTACACTCATGTTGTGGGGTTGGTTTCATTGCAACACCAATTCGTTTCTCAATCTCAGGTTCAGGATCCCAAGATTGCGTTTCTTTTCATTGCACGGAACAGGCTTCCTTTACAAATGGTTTGGGATGCATTCTTTCGGGTACATTTTTTTTTTTTCTCCTTTTCTTCTTTTAATTATTATTGATCTCTATGTCTTTTTGTGTGTGGACTTTGTAATTAGTAGGGTGCAACAATTGTGGTTAGTTACAACTTTTAATGATTAATCAGAGCCTATAAGTTTTTAATTTTTTTTTTTGTTTTTTTTTCCTATTTAGAACTTTTAAATGTAAAGTAAAATAACTCAATCTATATTGGGATACTAAAGACAAGTGTCTTATCTAGAACATTGAATTTTGTAAGAGCAGTAATTTTTACCTCGCTTGTCATAAAAACCATGTTTCCATAACTACTTAAAATTGATGCTAATAACTCTGGCTAAATTAGTTGTTAGAGTTGTTCCCTGATCTCTCTTTGTTAAGAACCATTTCAACCCAAAACCTTAAGGCATTGGGTGAGACTAAGTTAATTATTTTATATCTCTCTGACACACCCCCTCATGCAAGAGCCCTTTCAGCTTGAAGCGTAGATATGTCACAAGTCCATTTTTGGTCTGCCTTGTGCTGCACAAGCCCATTTTTTGGTCTGCATTGTGCTTTTCTTAATTTCACCTGAAAGTGAGGATCAAACTCGTGACCTTGTGGTCACTAAAGCTCTGTACCATGTTAAGAACCATTTCAACCCAAAACCTTAAGGTATTGGGTGAGGCTAAGTTAATTATTTTATATCTCTCTAACACTCTTTTTCTCTGCATCCAGTGGGAAAGGCATTCATATGTGTAAGTGTTCATAATGGATGAATACTTGTAGATATTGCCATTTATGTTTTTGAAAAGTCATGGGCAATAAACATATTATTAATTCTTTGTAATTTCATAGAATGCTTTTTGTTTACTTCTGAGGTGCAGTAATGCTTATAGAAACATTTGCGCTGTTATTTCAGGGTGGCAATAGCAAATTCTCAATTTTTGTTCACTCAAGGCCTGGCTTTGTGTTCACCAAGGCAACAACGAAATCAACATATTTTTTGAATCGTCAAGTTAATGATAGCATACAGGTTACTCTTCTTTCTTTGATTTCAACAAAATCTGTTTTTGTTTATCATCCATGTACCATTTGGTCTCTTATGTGGTGTTCAAATTTATGAGTTGCTACACTTTACTTCATGTGCTTACCCATTGCTTAAGATTTAGTTACATTCCTTTTGTGGATACAAGCCTGCCAACTATGAAATTTCATAATCCATGTTCTATGTGGGGTCCATAGGGAATTGTACTTTACCTTTGTTGATCAAATTTTTGCCTATGCGTTTATTCATCACATAGAAAACATGGAAATTAATAGAGTTACTGGAAAATTGCTGTTTTCTCCAAGGTCCGCTCAGATAAAAATAAGTAATCGTTCCTTTTCTCTTCTCTCTACAGTAGCTTTAACTCAAGGATGAATTCAATGATGATTCAAATTTAAAGGATTTATTGGTAATGTGCATTTCTTCTATTTTGCTCATGAGTCTCTGAAGCAAATTTTATCAAGAGGGCTGAGTGAATACCCTAGTTAATACACGATTTCATACAAAAACGTGAAAAAGCTTTAACTCTTTTACTAGGATAGAATGAAATACCCTAGTTATATTATGATGGTGTACCTGTTCAGAACTTTAAATTATTTCAGATAGAGAATTGGTGACTAAGATGTCTGATAATAATTTTCCTGCAAGTTATAAGTAGTTGAACTTAGAGTTCTAAATTTCAAAGATTGACTACCCGTATTCTGTAATTGCAATTCAGTGCACGTGCATCTTTTGTAAATTTATGAATTTAGGAAACATGCTGGCTCACAGTAGAGTCCTAAAAGACTTCCTTTTCTCTTTGTAAGAGTTTTTGTCCTTGTGTCATTTAGTTTTGTATTGAATATTACAGGTTCGATGTTGCATTTTATTTGGCTGATCTCTATGTTTCTCTTGAAGAGCATTGTGAATTATTGGTTGATTAATTATCTAAAAACGATTAAAAAGAGCTCCTTATCACAAACTTTCTTGTCATTAATAAAAATCCAGGCTATTTCCTGCTTGCAATTGTTTGTCTAAAAGTGAACTTTGAATTATTTAATTCAATTTTACCATATTGTTCGAAATGTGTCAGAAAATAGTTGTTACTAAGCTGTAATCCCGCCTTGTACTGTCTGTAAGCTTCATGATATTTAGCCCTTGTGATCTATTTCCAGGTAGATTGGGGAGAAGCAAGCATGATAGAGGCTGAGCGCATTTTACTTAGGCACGCGCTTAGTGATCCTTTAAATGATCGTTTTGTTTTCCTCTCAGATAGGTGAGGGTTTAATTTTGTTAACCGCTTTAAACTTTTAATCCTTATACTTTTGCCTATAACTTTCTGGACATAAACTATAAGTTATATACAGTTTTCAAAGTATGATTTCCTTTTGATTGTACATCAGTTTGCTTAATTATTTGATAGAAGAAAGGGCATTGATATCTCTAATCCTGAGCCTAGCACCTCACTTTATTTCAGTTGATTGATCTCTTTTCAGCTGTGTACCTCTATACAACTTCAGCTATACATATGACTACATCATGTCAACACCAACTAGTTTCGTTGACAGGTGAGGACACATGCATTTTGCTTTAGCACAATTGTCTGTAGTACTACCTTTTTTTTCTTATCATTTGATGACTTGAAATTTCAAATTTGAAAAATGCACCACTAACTTCAATTAGTCACATTACTGACAACAGATATTTTTTGTGAAACTATAATTCCTCACATATGCATTGTTGCTACATGACTAGAAATTAAGTTAATCCAACCTAAAATGATGCTGACAGATACATCTTACGCTATCAAAACATAGCCAGATATTATGTGTCTCCATTTTCCAAGGAACCTCCTTGCCTGCACTTGTTGTGGCAATCCATGATTCCATGGCATGGAAGCTATGGATAACCTCCTTGCCTGTGGATGCCATAGGGTTTTTTATCTACTTGTGATGGGATCTCCATGACTGGGCCTGCCATGATATTTCCTTGGAGATTAGAAAACAAAACAATTAGATCAAACATATATTACTCAAATAGAAATTTTGGGGGGATTAAATTTTGAAGAGTTCTAGACCTAGAATGCTTAGCTTCAAAGTAAAAGAAGAAGAATAAGAAAATGAAAAATAAGGGAAGGAGGAGGAGAAAAGGATGGATGTCTGATGGAGGGGGAGGGGAAGTGAGGCGGAATGAGAGAAGAGTAAGTTGCATATTCATTCATGCTACTGTTAATTGATTGTATGTTATCATTCTTATTTTTTCTAATTTAGTTGTTATGAGTTTTTCTTTAATGTACATGTGTAGTTATTTATTCATTTGCCAACAATTTAATTGTTATGATTTTGGCAATAAAATATGAGCAGCTTTGCTGACACAAAAGAAGGCCGTTACAATCCAAAAATGAATCCTGTTATTCCTGTCTATAACTGGAGGAAAGGATCTCAGGTAAAGGTCTAATGTAGTGCTTAGTTTACTGAAGTTCATTCTGAACTTAAAAAACACGGCATGCATTGCCAACGAATACCATCTTATTCCTATCTATTCATGTATTCTCCTGCAGTGGGCTGTTCTGACCAGAAAGCATGCCAAGGTTGTAGTGGAGGATGAAACTGTCTTTCCTTTGTTTCAAAAATATTGCAAGGTAATGGTGACATTGTTCATTGATAGTCTGTCTTTTATGATTGGTGTCACAAGTATCATATAAACATATTCTTAATCTCTCTCTGAATTTTCCTTTAAAATGTTGGACTATATACAAAGAAAGTTGTAATGGTACATCAATGAGGTGATGACTTTAGAAAATGTGCCAAATTTGTCATGAAAGTTGTTGGGAGTATTTCTTTCTATCTTTGTTCTTTCTTTCTTCATCCATGAAGTTTTCCATGCATTCGTTGCCGTTACATGTTATATAATCATAGCTGGGTAGGATTTAAGCTGTAACTTTTTGGGTATTTTTTAAGTCAATCATCTTTTCTTGTCTCCTTCATGCTGACAACCTCATTCTTTTCATCTCCATTTCTCTTACTCACGGATTTAATAATGCAGAAAAAGCCGCTACCAGAATTTTGGAGGGATCATCCCATTGTAAGTGTTCTATATGCGTAAAAAAATTCTTAAAGATGTCCTCTTTATACAATTTTAGCTTCAATAAATCATTTTTATCTGAAATCATATCTTCTTCCATAAAATGTCAGGAAATAATTCAATATTTGATTGTGAACTGATATGTGATATCAATTAGGTTCTTGCAAACTATATGAACAGATGAAGTAACGATTTTTAAATATAATTCCTTCCTTCATGCAGCCTGCTGACACGTCTAAGATCCATAACTGTATACCAGATGAACACTATGTTCAGACATTATTGGCTGTAAGGATCATTTCCTTTTCTTCCTTCAGACTCTATGTTTGTGTATGTGTCATAAACTGGCTTTGTTTGTACCATAGAGAGAGATCCTGCATATGTTGTTATGATTCGCCGGTTAACAATTAAATCAATCCTATCTCCTCACCCTGTGTTAACCACGCTTTTGACTGAACAATTTGTTATGGCATAATTTATCATGCTAAAAATAAAAATTGACATGAAGAAGAAAGTATGTTTTCTATGCTTTTCTTTGGTCCGGTATTTGCACGATTTGGGTGGCACCAATATGAAACTCAAATAAAAAATGTCTGTCACTGTTAATAGGATGGTTACTGGATGTTTCAAATATTAAAATGATTACACTATTGCATTTCTTTGAAGTTAAATGAACATGAAAAAAAGATGTCTAAAGAAGTTGAAGCAATTTTTGTCACATCTACTTTAAACTTTGTGAGGAGGCTTCTTTAACTTTACAAATATTTTAATGCAATCACCATGTTAGTTTTAATTTACATTTTTGAGTGTTTTCCTTCCCAAATCTAGCAACAAAATCTTGAAGCAGAACTCACACGGAGATCATTGACACATACTTCCTGGGATATTTCCAACTCCAAGGATCGTGAGCGCCGGGGATGGCATCCAGTGACTTACAAGTTTTCAGATGCTACGCCAATGCTTGTAAAATTTATAAAGGTTTGATCTTTACTGCACTGCTACTGCAAAATCACTCTTTTGAATCACCTTTCATTCTTTTTTTACTTTCACCCCCCCCCCCCCCCCCCAAACAAAAAAACAAAACAGAAGCATATAGGGGTTGATATTGTTAGGTTATCAACTATTTGACTTTAAACATTGACTGCCTTTGCAGTTTAAGAAATTCTGGATGTTTTTATCTCAATAAATAATGTTTTGTTGGAAGGATACTGCAGGTGTTAATAGTAGGAAACCCTAATTGAGCCTAAAGGAATTCAAACAATTAACTAAATCACCTACTACATACCAGCATATTCACATACTTAAAAAGAACAAAGTATGAAATATTTGTCATTGTACATATAGCAAAGTAATTCTGTGATCCCCATCCTGATAAAATCCGAATTCAACTGGGGGAAATACATCTTAATTTATGATTCCTATCAGCCAACTAATGAAGCCAATACCTTAAAAAAAGAAATCAGGTTATCATGTATATCCAATCCACAGTAGCAATAGACCCCAAAATATTCAAGTAACTGGACAATTATCAATAGTCACAGACTCACAGTTATGTAAAAGAGCTGAAGATGCAATAAAATTCAAAAGTTTTAGCTAGCCAAAAAGAAAGTGCTGAACAAGAGAAGGACAAATTTACTTATCAATGAACTATACTAAGACAACTAATATATAGAGATGATGGACTCTTCAACATAATTGAGTCGCTTTAGGACAAGCATATAAAGTTTATGTCTTCTACTTTTATGAAAGAAAATATGTGTTGATATGATGATTGGTTTGCAGGAAATAGATAATATTTATTACGAGACTGAATACCGAAGAGAGTGGTGCAGAAGCAAGGGTAAACCATCAACTTGCTTCCTTTTTGCAAGAAAATTTACTCGACCTGCTGCTTTACGGCTTCTTAACATGGTAAGTAAGTTCATCTATCACAGGGTTTTTCTTGAAAAGCTTTCAAATAGTTTGAGAGGAAACTAACTGTGGTGTTTTTGAATTTCTTCTATTTGAGTAGTACAAGTCTAGCTTGTTAATTATTTTCTTCTTTTCTGTTGGACAGTCTGTTCTGGGAGATTCCAGTTAAGAGAACAAAATGCTTATTATCAGTCTGATACAAGCAGAAAATATACTTGGTAAAGAAAAAGAGAGGGAGAAAAGAGAATAAAGTGAAAGCAGTTGAAGATTATTGACGACCATACTGATATGTATAATGAATTGTATATTTAGAAAGTTGAAAGAGTGCCTATGGTGTATGTGTATTAAATTCTTTTCAGAATAAGATTTACAACTGTTGGTAAATCATGAAAGACAGTTTCCTTATAATAAAAATGAAGACAATAATTGAGTGATGGAGATATACCAGCATGAACATTGTCTGTTGTAGCCTTGTAGGCAAACTCACAACACATGGTTGTGACTTGTGTGTCAACCATGTGCTGTCTTTGTACACAACTTTTCAGGTTTTTTGACCAAGTAAATGCTTTTAATACAAAAAGAATACTTTTTCACTTCATTTTTCACGAGATATTTCAAATTAATGCAGTCAATTTCGCACATTAACCGTATGGTAATGTTTGGTTCAAGAGTTTTCCCTGTCTCCTAGCGAAGTGCAGAAGGTATTCTTAATTCCCCACGTTTGATTCACCGATGTGATGAATTTTACCCATCAATGCCACTTGCCTATCAATCCACAATTGCATGTGAAAATCAACAAAATCACTGCTTCAGAAAGCATCTTGGAAGGTGGTATTTGTGAGAAACCGGCTAAGTTATTCGAGTGGTACAAAAGGGTGACAACATTACCCCTAACACGTGAGCTGTTGGAACAATTGGTTGTAATAAAATAGGGTTATTTTTATAAGGATAATTTTGTAATTTCATTAAGTTTTTCCATCAGTATTTTATCTTCAACCAAACACACATTCAGAAATTTCATTCAATTTTTCTGATAAAATTTTGCTCAACCAAACAACTTTTTTAAAACTTTCTTATCTAACTCACTTTCTCTGCAGATTCTTAACATTTACATTTTTCTAGTAAAAAAAAAATTTACCTCAACCAAACACCTACTATAGGACAAATCCATGCGGTCAATATGCACGATTGGCCGTATTAATTTGGAATAACTCAACTTTTCAACTAGGGGTAAAAGCAAAATGGACTTTGGGTTCATTAGGATAAATCCATTGAATGGAGTTCTTTTTGCATCACAAAACTATGATTTAGCATAATCATCAACACTGAGCCATACTTTATTTAGTGAGATGTCAAGATAAAAATAAATGAATGATAAGTGTTTTTATATGGGCTTTATTAGAAGTCTAACTAACAAAGCTCCAATCTCCTGAATCAAGATTCAATACTTGATTTGAATTGCACTACAGCCCAAGATTCTCTTTTGAGTTCCTGTTTGGGGACCCAGAAGCTTCATTTGCACTTTGGAGAAATGCAAGGTGATGGACCCCAGTCATTACTATTAGGTGTCAACAATCTTTAAAATACTGGAAGCTTCTGTGATCTTTGAATTGGGTCAATAGGTAATTAACAACTCTCCAATATTTTAGTTGGTCACCGACCATGAATTAAAGCCAACCCTTACCCTATATTATAAGGGGCTTAGTTTTATCCAGTTCTAGGAGAAATTTTTTGTCTCTCTTGTAGAGACAAATTCATGTGAGCCCCACAATTTTTTTTATTTAAAAAAAGGGATAGACTCATTTTTTGATGAATGTGCAAGAGAATTTTTCTTTCTCTCCATAAACCAGGAGAGTTATATTTAGAGGTGGCAAAGTGGGCGATTGGTGGTCTCACCCCGCCTCCCCACTTTGCCATCAATCTGTTAAAAGTTGAGCTAGCTCGTCTCGTCCCACTTTTGAAAGTGGATTTGAAAAACTCGACCCATCTCGCTTAGTTTGGTGGGTTGGCTTGTCAGCTCGAGCCTATTTTACACTGACCCATTTCGGCCCGCATATGCTCGTCATCAACTCATCAAAAAATGAGTCTGTCCTGCTTTTGAAATGGGTTGAAAAACTCAGCTCGTCCTGTCCCATTTAGCGGGTGGACAGGTTGGTCCGCCGAGCCGAGCTCGTTTTCTCGATTCCAGTTATATTTTTCATATTATAAAATGGTTTAATGTTTCTCATGTTATCGAAGATAAATTTTTATCTACACATACATAAAAATATATGGAATTCATATGAGATTATGTGAAAAGAAAAGAAAAGAAATATGAGTTCTATATATTTTTAAATATATGTAATAGATAAATTTATTTCTTGTAAGATGAAAAACATTAAACCTATTATAAAATGTATATGGGTGCATATAGTAAAGGCTATTTTGTTAGTTAACTGCTTCAACAATCCATGACACGTTACTCCGTTACCGTATAGAGTGAAAGAAAAGGAACACGCTATTAAAGGCTTTAACTGCCAATTGTTATTGTTATTATTATTAATTTATTATCTCTTCAACATCAAGCTTCAACCACTACTTTCTTAGTCTCTAGGTTATTTAACCTTTTCTCACCGACACTTTCAATAGTTAATTACCCATATCTGTTTATCTTTGTCAAATTCAATATAGAAACAATAGAATGCCATGTGCACTTATGTGCATGCACCATTAGTCCTTTATTCTAATCCCATTTAGCCTTGACTTTTGACTCATCGACTGTTCTCAACGTACCCTAACCGTTACTAACCGACCTCTCATTCTCAAGCCACGTGCCTTTTTTTGTTTTTTGTTTAAGAAAATTTAGATGATGGAAAGTTATTCTATTTCAAAATCTATTATCACAAATTATAACAAAAAAAAAACTTACAATAAAACGACCACAAAATTTTAGTTGATTATAGAATCCATATCCTAATTAATGAAAATAAAAACATAAAAAATCCTATCAATATATGCTTTGATACTTATTTCAATAATTCCATGCTAATTATGTTAATAAAGAATATGTTCAATTTATTTAATACAATTAATATAGGAGTATATTATACTTACTGCTATTTTAACTTTACTACTCAATTACCTGATTAGTTACCGTTTGATCAATTTGAAGTTGACGATAATTATTTTATTTTATTTTATTTTTTAACAGTGATTTTAAATTGATCAAACGATAACCAATCAGATAGTGAAAATAATAAGACTAAAATAGTAGTAAATATAACCATCCCCATTAATATAATGTTTCTTTCAAATAATAAAAATTTAAAAAAGTAACATTCTTCCTGAAAACCTAGAATAATCCTTGTCCAAAGAATTGATACTCTTCGTAATAAGTACATGTAATTCCTGTATATGCTAATATGTGAATATAATTATGTTACTACAAATACAAATATATTATATTACTAAAGACATTACGAGATGATAATATAATTATGCATATTGTTAGATGTATTTTTTTTTTAAATGTGAAATATAAATTAAATCTCAATAGCTACTGTTTAATGTATTTTTTTTAGGAAGGTTATACTTACAACCATATTTTAACACCGTTGATTTTCCCCAATTAACGGTTATGATTTTCGCAAATTAAAATCATTAATTAATTATTAATTCACAAAAAATGATAACCGTTGATTGACGAAAATCAACGGTGTTAAGATATGGTTGTAAAGAAAAAAAATTGTAAGTATAACCTTCCTTTTTTTTTATCTTTTTAATATACCGACTCTAATTATCTATTTAAGACAAGATATTCCTTTAATATACTTATAAACTTTAACTCTTTAAGTCAGTTATGAGATTAATTCTGAATTAGAATTTAATCACATCACAGCTATAATTTTTCGTCCTTTCCCAAAAATATATTTGACAAAAAGCGAATCCAAATTTTATTTCAACTCCACTCAACTTATATTATCAATTTTGCTACATTAATTGGGATAATGAAGTATTTTTAGCATCCAATTTTCTTACTTCGCAAACCTAACTTCTAGATTAGTCCACGCCTCACTTATATTTGAGTGTTTTATACTAAAGCAACAATTACGCATACAAAGTGTCGGTATGCCGGGTCCACAATATTTACATGTGGCGGTGGCTGGTGCAGTCTTCTCCCGTGATTTTGCCAAGAATTTAGCGTCTAATAAAAATAAAATAAAAAGAAAAGAAAGTTCTAACCTGACCACACAAAAGTAGGGAAAGCAACAATAAACTGGGCAGTTTGGTATGACTTTTTTTTTTAGGATTTTCGAAAAATTGAATTTTTTTAATTTTTTTGATATTATCATCAACAGAATGTAAAAATTATATTTTTAAAAATTAAGATTTTCGGATAAAAAAAATTTCTCCTCATCGAAACACCCCGAAAAACAATAAGACCCTACTAGGTAATGAATTAAAGGCTAGTAATTGTTGGAGGCCCACTAATAGCAAGAAAAAAGAAAAAATTGTCAAAAAGGAAAAGACCACTCTGATTCTGCATTTATTAAAGATTATTATTATTATTATTATAATAATTAGTGAAAAAAATATTTCTTCAATCACGGAAAATAAAGTTATCTTCAGTGAGCTCAAAACAACGTCGTTTTGGGTTATAAGATTAAAAAATTATAATAAAAAAACTAATATAACCATGTAATATATTAGAATTTAGCGTCTAATAAAATTAGAGGTAGGATATTCTTACTACCACTTTTTTCTACTACCACTCCACTACCACTTTAATCACCATTGGATTCAAAAGTTATTTTTTGTTCTCTCTCTTCATTCAACTTTTCCTCTAATCCAATAGTAATTAGGGTGGTAGTGAAGTGGTAGTAAAAAAATAGGTAGTAAGAATATCCTAACTCATAAAATTAAAATAAAAAGAAAAGAAAGTTCTAACCTGATCACACAAAAGTAGGGAAAGCAACAATAAAATATTAAAGAAAAATAATAAGACCCTACTAGGTTTAGAGGCTAGTAATTGTTGGAGGCCCACTAATAGCAAGAAAAAAGAAAAAATTGTCAAAAAGGAAAAGACCACTCTGATTCTGCATTTATTAAAGATTATTATTATTATTATTATTATAATAATTAATGAGAAAAATATTTCTTCCGAAAGTTATTTTCAGTAAGCTCAAAATAACGTCGTTTTAAATTTTAAGATTAAAAAATTATAATAAAAATTAATATAATTCTGCAATATATTAAAATTATAAAATATCTTGATTTCTGCTCTAAAATGACATCGTTTTAGATTTACTGAATTGACTGGAGAAATTCTTTACCCTAATTATTATTAGTAAATCCTCGTTTTTTCTCTTATGAATCCTTCTATCCCTAGTGTCCAGGATAATTATACTAGAAAAGGAAAAAATTTCTCCGATTAAATTCCCAAAATATAAATTAGAAAGAACAATTAATAATTAAACGATAAAATAGAACTTGATATGACATATTATCTTCAGAATATTCGTAATAAGATTACCGAATAAAAGTTATTACTTAAACTAGGTCAAAAGTGTATCCCAAATTCAAAACATATCCATCGTGAAAAAGAAAAGCAAAAATCAACGAAGAAAATATATCACAACTTTATACCACACAAATTTTGCTTTTCCCCATACCCCATATTAGGTATATAAGTGTTTTTAGTAACAAATAGGAATGCAAGTCAATTGATGTTGATTTTTTTAAAAAAAAAATATTTAAAGTAAAATTAGAATAAGCCTCCAACAAATTAAAAGGGTCACACAATATCATTTATTATTTTAATGTTATTTAATTTAATAAATTTAATTAAAAAATTTATTTTAATGTTAATTTCAGATTCAATGTTAATTTAATATGAATTTGGTCAATTAAATTAATTTAGTGCTCCGTACTAAATATTTATTTGAATAAAAATAATTTACTCCAATAAATGCTATCAATTTTAATAAAAAATTAACAAGTTAATATTTACTTAAGTAAATACGATCAACTTTGATAAAAATAAAATAAATTGATATTTTTTTAAATTAAAGGGACAGCTCATCTATCAGCCGAATATAATCTTTTTATTTTAATCGCCTCCAATTAATTTATTCTTCTTTTTGGAAAAGTAAAGATCTAAATTCGGATTCTAAAATCAAGATGTTACCCATTGAGATAATAAACACATCGCTTTTACTTTCTTGCAAATGTCGGTTAACTATATTTTTAATTCAGACATCTTTAGTATCTTTTATTTTTTATTTTTAAATTTACACAGCAATGTGTGGTTTCCATAAAAAAGCAGTGTGGGGATTTGAGAAACCGGCCAAACTTGAAACATCAAACATCCCCCCTTACGGTCAAAAGGACCACATTTGGATTATTCTAATCTTAAACAGCAAATTTATTTCATGATCTTATAATAGTAACTATAGTAATAGTTGGTAGATGAATGAATTTATTAAGTATGTTGACAGGGTTTGATCTCTGATTATGTATATGTATATGGAAATTTTTTTTGTTAATAGAGGTAAAATTTATTTCGGTAATTTCTATACTTCAAAAGAATTAATATTTAACTGTTGACTGAGAAATACTTTGAGAAAATTAAAAAAAAAAATTAGTACATGATAAAAAAACTCTCAACCATATATGTATAAATTTTTATAGAAAAAATATGTATTTTTTTAAAGGATATAAAGTTGTGTCCTATACTTCAAAAGGATTAATATTTAACTGTTAGCTGAGAAATACTTTGAGAAAATTAAAAAAAAAATTATTACATGATAAAAAAATTCTCAACCATATATGTATAATTTTTTATAGAAAAAGTGTGTATCATTTTAAAGGATATAGAGTTGTGTCATTTTAAGTGAAAGAAAAAGATAAATCATGACACATCTTTTCTCCAATTTTTATTCATATAAACCTAAAGTTAATGGTGAAATATTTTAATAATATTATTTGTAAAGAACTTTGAGATACACCATCCTAAAAGCTAGCTCAAAGAATGAGAGTGTCCAAGGCCTTATAAAGGGCACATTAATTGAACATACAATCAATGTGGGACTATATATCTCAACATTATTCTCTAAACATGTTATAAATTCTTTTAAAATGATATCAACCAATATTCTCAGACGCAAAGCACCACATCTTCTCTTTTAAGATAAAAAAGAGAAAAAGAGATGCCTCGATTCTTCCATTATTGTGGCACTAAAATTAGTATCAACGAGAACATTTATGTCATGTACATAACACAAACAAATTAAAAAAATTCAACAAATAAAAATTTCAAAACCAACCTTCACCTCACTCACCTTCTATAAATACCATGTTTGCATTGTTGATTTGGCAAAACAAAAACACAAAGTTTTGAGTCACCAATTCAACACCAAATTCAAAGCAAACACTTAATTACTTCCCTTTAGTCTCTTCATATTCTGATTTTGAATATGGCTCCCAATTCCATCACCAAACACATCAACAACAACACCTTCAACATTGTTACTTCAAAACTACAAGTCAACGACCACATCGTTCTCTCCGAAGTGCCCAACAACATCACCACCACCACCCCATGTTCCACCACCACCACCAACGGCTGTTTCCTCGGCTTCGAAGCCCAAAACCATCAAAGCCGCCACGTGGCACCCTTAGGCAAGCTCAAGAACACAAACTTCATGAGCATCTTCAGGTTCAAGGTATGGTGGACAACTCACTGGGTCGGGTCAAACGGGTCGGATCTAGAAACCGAGACCCAATTCCTAATGCTGGATAACAACCCCAACACGGGTCGACCCTACGTTCTCTTTCTTCCCATCATAGAGGGTTCGTTCCGCGCGTCGTTACAACCGGGACAAAACGACAACATCGAAGTCTGCGTTGAGAGCGGGTCAAGCAAAGTAACAGGATCAAAATACGACGCTGTCGTTTACATACATGCGGGAAACAACCCTTTCACGCTGGTTAAGGAAGCGAGTAAGGTTGTGAGGGCTCATTTAGGAACATTCAATCTGTTAGAAGAGAAAACACCACCTGGGATTGTCGACAAGTTTGGATGGTGTACATGGGATGCATTCTACCTTACGGTGCACCCTCGTGGTATATACGAAGGTAATAATAAATATTACTTCAACCCATAATTACTGAATTTTTGGTAGTGATATTTTTTTTTTACTGAAAATGGGAAAAACATTTATGGGTAAGTTACTAAAATAAATATCAATTTTTTTTTGAAAATGTTGAGTTAATTTTATTGACGTCGTGTGTTAATTTTTCAATCATGTGAAAAAAAACAATTTTATCCCTTCTATGATAATTTTCCTCAACTATTTTACATAGAAAGTAAATGATGAAAAAAAATAATTTCTCAGCCATATTTTTATTTTAACTTTTATCAAACACCAAAGATAGATAAATAATTTTCTTACCTTATTTTTTTAGAATTTTTTTTTTTCCACCTCTTATCAACACTCTTACAGAGCGTTTGGTACGCGTCATTTCCCAAGATTTCTAGGAAACTGAATTTTTTTAAAAATTTTAAATTATTGAATATTATTATAAATTGAACGTAAAAATCATATTTTTAAAAATTGAGATTTTCAGACAAATTTTTTTTTCTCTCTACCAAACGCCCCCTTAAGGTATTGTATTAGATGACGATATTAATTATTTTATATAATTTTTTATGACCTTGTGTGACAAATAAGCTTACTTTAATCAAAATTTTAAGGCGTTGGACGATGTTATATTAATTATGGGTTTTTTTTTTTGTAATTACTGCAAATAAGTTATTTGTAGTAAGCTCAATACGACGTCGTTTTGAGATAAAAATCATAATATTTTTGTAATTTTAATTTATTTCAGAGTTATTATAGTCTTTATAATTATAATTTTTTAATACTTTAATCCGAAAACGACGTCTCGTTTTCAGAGTAAATGCTGATAATTTATCTGTCTTAATTGTAAAAATATTTTTCTGATTAATTATTATTATTTTTTATTTCTGTGACAGGTGTGAAGGGTCTAGTTAACGGTGGTTGTCCACCGGGGTTTGTTTTAATCGACGACGGGTGGCAGTCTATCAGCCATGATGCGGATCCAATAACGAAAGAAGGAATGAACCACACTATTGCTGGTGAACAAATGCCATGTAGGCTCATAAACTATAAAGAGAATTATAAGTTCAAAGATTATGTGTATGAGAAGAATAAGGAGAAGAAGGAGAAGGGTTTGGGTGGGTTTGTGAAGGAGTTGAAGGAAGAGTTTGAGAGTGTGGAGTATGTTTATGTTTGGCATGCTTTGTGTGGTTATTGGGGTGGGATAAGGCCTGGTGTTAATGGCTTGCCGGAATCCGTCGTGGAGAGGCCCAAGTTGTCGCCGGGATTGGAAACAACCATGGAGGATCTTGCTGTTGATAAGATTGTTAATAATGGGGTAGGGCTTGTTCCACCTCACTTGGTTGATCAAATGTATGAAGGGCTTCATTCTCATTTGGAACTTGCTGGGATTGATGGGGTCAAGGTTGATGTCATCCATGTAAGTTCTTCTTTTTATAATTCCTAAGCCTCACTTTTTTATTTTTTATTTTCATTTGAACTCCATTTAATGAATTAATTTAGACATTTTTGTGGGGTACGTACGTGTCACAAGGAAAGGCACAAAAATGACGCGTTGCGTGTATCTTATATTGGAGAAAACTTTTTTTTAATGTTTCTTGTGGATATGTTTATAATTTAAAATGACATAATTTTATGTAATTTTAAATAAAATAACGGTTTTATTTTTCTCATAACACACAAAAAAAGTGAGTGGGACCCATTAAAAAAGAGAGAGCGAAAACAAAAAAGTGAATCTACCCACTTTTTTGTGTGTTGCAGGAGACAATTTATCTCATGTAACATGAGAAAAATAAAACCCATAAAATAATATATTTTACATATTTATTAATTTTTTGCGTTCTTTATTTTAATGGGAAATATTTTTTTTATGTTGTAGGAAAATAATTAACTCATGTTATAAAAATAAAATTATAAGGGGAACCCACAAGTAAGAGGAGAGAAAAAAAAAGAGTGGTGGAATCCACAATTCTTTTGTGTGTGTAGGAAAATTGTTTCTCTTATGTAAAGTGAGATAAATATAACCCTATTTTAATCTCAGTATTTATGTACGTAATTTTGGACTATTCGCTGTTGGTGTTTTTTCTCAAAGGGAGAGTATCATAATGGACTTTTGTTTACATTTCTAATTTCTATTAGTTAGTTATCTTTGATTTTATTTTATTTTTTTGGTTGATGTGTTTTCTTTATATGTATTGCTTGAAAAACAGTTGCTGGAGATGGTGTGTGAGAAATACGGGGGCCGAGTAGATTTGGCGAAGGCGTATTACAAGGCGCTCACAGCTTCGGTGAGAAAACATTTCAAAGGCAATGGTGTCATTGCCAGCATGGAACATTGCAATGATTTCATGTTGCTTGGAACTGAAGCTATATCGCTTGGTCGTGTTGGTATGTGATGTGCCTTTATCGTTACTAGCTACTAACTATAGTATTAATGAACAACATTTGTATAATATTTTCATCTTAATTAATGAACAACATAACATATAAGTACATTGAGTTATACTTACTATCATTTTAATCTTATTATTTTTGTTACTTCATTGGTTACAGTTAGATCAATTTGAAATCAACGACAGTTAATTTTTTTCATTTTTTAACTGTTGATTTCAAATTGATCCAACAATAATCAATCAGGTAATAAAAGTAGTAAGGCTAAAATGATAGTAAGTATAACCGCCACCTAATTTTTTTTATTTGGAAATGAATTCATTTGATTTATGTCTTGGATTGAAACAGGGGATGATTTCTGGTGCAGTGACCCTTATGGTGATCCAAATGGTACATTTTGGTTACAAGGGTGTCACATGGTGCATTGTGCATACAACAGCTTGTGGATGGGCAATTTCATTCACCCAGATTGGGACATGTTCCAATCTACACACCCTTGTGCTGCCTTTCATGCAGCTTCTCGAGCCATATCTGGTGGCCCTATTTACATCAGTGACACAGTTGGTAATCACAACTTTGAATTGCTCAAGACTTTGGTCTTGCCTGATGGTTCCATCCTAAGATGTGAGCACTATGCACTTCCAACCCGAGATTGTCTCTTTGCTTACCCTCTCCATGATGGCAAAACAATGCTCAAAATATGGAACCTTAACAAGGTCAATTTTCCCTCTTCATATCTTATAAATTGAATTAATTGATTTTTTTTTTCAATTATATGATTTTGTATATCTATGGGATTTTCAAGCATTATTTATGCAAGAAATCAAGAGTTGTTAGTCTAGTGGCGACTCAGATAGATACCGGGATTGATATGCCTAAAGGGCAATGAGTTTAATTCCTGAGAGTTGTAACTCCTGAAAAGGGTGGAGAGGCTCAAACCTGAAATTGGATTAACACCAGTTGGTATCTAAAAAAAAGAAAGGCAATTGAACTTCTACTAAGGGCTCGTTCGTATTGCCTTTTCAAGGAAGTCCTTTTTATTACTTCTTTATTTTAAAAAGTACTTTCTATAAAAATTACAGCTATTTAGATTTTTTAAAAAATATTTGATTTTTGAAAAATATATTTGGCTTTTGACTTCTGCTTTTTTTAAAAGTTAAAATTTTTAGCTTCCGAAAAAAGTAAGTTTTTGACTTTTTTTATGACTTCTGCTTTTTTTAGAAGCAGACATCCAAACAGACTTTTCTCGAGAAGTGCTTTTTTTTTAAAAAAAGAGAGCAGTTTTTGAAGGAAAAAAAAAGCACATCCAAACGGGCTCTAAGTTACTTTCAAATATATGATTCTATAATGATTAAAGAAATTTACATTACCAATATTGTCAAATATTATTGATATTAACAATGTTATGATTTGGATTTTTGTTACAGTATAGTGGAGTTCTTGGGGTGTTTAACTGTCAAGGAGGAGGTTGGTTCCCTGAGGTTAGGTCCAACAAATGTGCTGCTGAGTCTTCTCATGTGGTTTCAACCAAGTACAATCCCAAAGATATTGAATGGAACAGTGGCAAGAACCCAATTTCTATTGAAGGAGTGCAAGTTTTTGCCTTGTATTTCAGCCAAGCTAAGAAGCTTGTCCTTTCATCACCATCTGATAGTGAAGAAATTTCCTTGGAACCATTCAATTTTGAGCTTATAACTATTTCCCCTGTGACTTTGTTGCCAAACAAGTCCTTGCAATTTGCTCCTATTGGTTTGGTGAATATGCTGAATACTGGTGGAGCAATCCAATCCTTGGATTTTGATGAGGCTCAAAATTTGGTTGAAGTTGGAGTAAGAGGCATTGGGGAGATGAGGGTCTTTGCCTCAGAGAAACCAAGCACTTGTAGAATTGATGGGAAAGAAATTGATTTTGAATATGAAGGGTCAATGGTCATTATTCAAGTGCCATGGCCTAGTTCTTCAAAATTATCCTCTGTTCAGTATATATTCTGAGCATAGCATTGGCTATCATTTTTTTTTTCTTTTGTCCTTAGTGAATTGTGTTGAAAGGGGTATTTTTAAGCCACTAGCATTCGTCTAGTGGTGAGGTATTTGGATAAATTGTATTAGGTTATGTGTTCAATTTTCACTTGTATAAAAAAAAGAGGGGCATTTTTATCCCTTATTTATATGTTCGATAACTTTGTTTTCCGGTTTTATTTAAGGGAAAAATGTTTCTGCAATTACTGCAGATAAGTTATCTGCATTTATTTTCAAAACGACGTCGTTTTAGTATTGAAATCTTAAAAAATTATAAATATAAAGACTATTATAACTCTGAAATAAATTAAAATTACAAAAACTCCATGATTTCCGTCCCAAAACGACGTCGTATTGGGCTTATTGCAGAAAAAACGAACCCTTTATTTAAAGGATTTGTTCTTTGTCCAATTAATGTCATTTTTTTTTTCCTTTTCGGTTGAAAGTCGTTTTAGATACATGTAAGAAACATATCATTCATTGTATCTATTTGGCTAAGCTTTTTTTTTTAATCCGTTTGATACCAAAATCATTGCCTAATTCTTTTGTTACCAACATTTATGCCTCCTCCCTCTCCATTCCTTACCACTTAGTTGTCTTTCAAACTAATCTTCATACTCATCATAATGACTCGCTATGATTGTCTATGTGATTAGTTTAAAAGAAGTTTAATTGGGATCTAATATTATCCGTGCTTACTGAAAATAAGTATTAGAAATTAATGAATTAACTATGTGAAAGTAATACACTTTTCATCTATTAAAACAGAGAAATGTCTAGGCCTAACCTTTTTTTTCTTTTGGGTTAAATGGATATTGCCTAAGTTTATATCTTGAGCTACATGGGCCATGATCATGACCCACTTGTTTCATCAAATGAACCCATTTTGTGAGGAAAAGTGACATAGAATCAGAAGCAGAGGTTGTGTTGTGGTTGAGTGTATTATTGTGCCTATCTAAATTTTTTTTTGGTAATTAAAAAAAATAAAATTTACTCGTGAATGTGTTACAATAGAAATTAGGAGAGGTAAATTTGTAAAGAAGATTGTAGACAGAATCACAGAATTAGGGAGGAAAACAATTGATTTAATATTTTTTTTCTTATTTTTTTAATTAAATGAGAGTTATAAATTGAGATAAGAAAATTTCAATTTGAATTAAAAACTAATAACATATATAAGATAATTGAAAATAAAATAATGTATTTAATTTTAAATAAAAAATGAAGATAAAATAATCTAATAACAAATAAGGGAAGAACGTTTGTCAACTTAAAGACTTAATTTTATATTATTTTGAGTTAAACGATTGTTTTATGAATGAGAAAAAATGTAAAAAAGTCATCAAATATACACTTACACAATTGTTTTACTAAATATGACACAAAATTATATCTTTTAAAATAGATAAATTTTATACTTACAATTTCTTACAACTTAATTTTAACCGTTGATTTTTGCTAATTTAACGGTTATAATTATTAGAATTTAATAATTATAATCCAATAAATTATAATTGTTTAACGGTTAAAATTAGGTTGCAAGTGAAAAAGGATTGTAAATATAATTTCTCTTTTGAAAATAATAATAATTTTTTCTAATAAATAATTAAGATAAGAATAAACTTATAACACAACGAACTGAAATATAAGTGACAAAACAAAAGCAAATGCAGATAATATAATTAATTGTAAATAAATAAAATAAAAATAAGCTAGTATAACACTAAACCATCTAATCTAATATTCTAAAAGAAACTCATTCTTTGGCAAGTTTGCTGACGTGTCATTTTCTCCTTCACTTTCAGCTTTGTGCTCACACTACAAAATATTTAAAACCTTTAATCTTTGGTAAAAAAGAATAAAAAAAAATATATATTAAATAAAATTGAATTTGTAATTAAATTCAATTGAAAAAATATGTTAACAATTGTTGGTGGCAGACATTTAATGTCCCACTACTTTCTGAAATCTTGATTTTCAATTTTGAATTTTATTTTTTAATTTTAAATTTGAATTTTGAATTTTGAATTTGAATTTAAATTTTAAAGGGTGAAAAAATATTTGAAAAATTGTTGGTGGCAGACAACTCATTTATTATCCCATTATTTTTTTGTTAAAAAATAATCATAAAAAAAACGAAAATATTTTGTAAAAAATGCAAATATTTTGTGTATAAATAGGATATGTGTTATTGGTTTTTTCATTTTGTAATTAACTTCAGTGCACATATTTCTTCTCTTATCTATGTGTTTATCTTCTTCATCTTCTCATATTGTTGTTTTATCACATGAACACAGCTTCGTTGTAGAACAAAACTGACAGGATGATTTGGAATCACTGGGATATTGCTTTTGTACTTCCTCAGAGGAAGGTATGACATTCTTCTCTATCTGCTTTTCTTCTACAAGTATTTTCTCCATAATCTAATATCATGAATGAATGAAATAATATAATAAAATGTCTTAACTTTAAAGTATACAACGAGCAATGGCATAATACGTGAAGTATCCCAGCCTTTTGGCAAGTTCTGTTTTTTTTCTCTCCTGTGAGTTATCTGTGCTTTTTGAGCACCATTTTAAAATACAACATGGTAAAAATTTCTCCTTTATCTTAAAGTTCTTTTATTTTCTATCTTTAATCTCTGCAAGAGCAAGATAAGTTTTCCTTTCTATTCTTCCTCTCCGTACATAATTTGTTTCACATTGTTGTTGATGTTCTTTAATTTATGTTTGTTTTTGACAATAATGCTTACCGTGACGATGGAAGTGATGAGTTGGATAGGAATGATACTAGTTTGACCCTCATAAAACTATCTTCTATTTCTTCAAAGAATGTTGAAGTGTGTCAGATGCTAGACCAGTGCAACCCAGCAACATAGTTTCAAAGCAATTTTTCTTTTAGGAATTTTTTTCTTTAATTATCACTATGAATTTATCCTTCTACTTTTTTTAATTTTGTTTGTGCCTATTGTATAAGTGCCTAGCCTAATTCAATTTAATTAGGCATTGAAAAGATCTGTTTTGTATGCTCATGTTGAGAATATGAACTAGGAGAGAAATTGATGACTCTTCAATTTCAAAATATAATACAGGCATATGAAGCTTTTTATATTCCAATTAAATTATTCATAATTAGCCTTGAAATCAATATCCTTTAAAAAAGGTGAATATTCCAGATTTTTTTTTAAAAAAACAAATTTGAAAACATAATAATAAAACAAAAGGGTAAAAGAATTTCTAATCTGTTGATGCATCTCAAAATTCGAAAGACCTAATATTAACAATTTATAAAAAAATACGCATTATAATGCATTGAACGCTTGGTTTGTATTTTTCAAATTTAAATTTTAAATTTGAATCAAATAAAAACTAACTAATTTAAACTTTAAATTTTAATATCTGTTTAAAAAGGATAAAAAGAATTTCGAGCGTCTAATTTAAAAAAAAAAAATTTACTGTTTTTTGAACGCTTGGTTTGTATTTTTAAAATTTAAATTCTAAATTTGACTCAAACAAAAAGTAACTAATTTAAACTTTAAATTTGACTCATTATAGATTATCTTCCTCATTGTGGCAAGGGAAAAAAAGCAAATCATTGTCAGAAAATATAGCCATATAATTCTTAACAACTTATACCACATTATTTTAGAAAGACCTAATAATAACAATTTATAGTGAGTCAAACTTATTTGAGTTATTTCACACCCTTTTCTTTCTCTACATTTTCAACAAACTTATTTCTCAACTAAAACATTTCATATAAATTTGATTCAAACCATTTCAAATTTAAACTTTAAATTTTAATATCTGTTTAAAAAGGATAAAAAAGATTTCGAGCGTCTAATTTTAAAACAAAAAATTAACTGTTTTTTGAATGCTTGGTTTGTATTTTTAAAATTTAAATTCTAAATTTGACTCAAACAAAAACTAACTAATCTAAACTTTAAATTTTAATATCTGTTTAAAAAGGATAAAAAGAATTTCGAGCGTCTAATTTAAAAACAAAATATTTACTGTTTTTTGAATGCTTGGTTTGTATTTTTAAAATTTAAATTCTAAATTTGGCTCAAAGAAAAACTAACTAATTTAAACTTTAAATTTTAATATCTGTTTAAAAAGGATAAAAAGGATTTCTAGCGTCTAATTTAAAAACAAAATATTTACTATTTTTTTAACGCTTGGTTTGTATTTTAAAATTTAAATTCTAAATTTGACTCAAACAAAAACTAACTAATTTAAACTTTAAATTTTAATATCTGTTTAAAAAGGATAAAAAGGATTTTGAGCATCTAATTTAAAAACAAAAAATTTACTGTTTTTTGAACGATTGGTTTGTATTTTTAAAATTTAAATTCTAAATTGAGCTCAAACAAAAACTAACTAATTTAAACTTTAAAATTGACTCTCTATAAATTATCTTCCTTATTGTGGCATGAAAAAAAACAAATCATTGTCAGAAAATATAGCCATATAATTCTTAACAACTTATACCACATTGTTTTGGAAAGACCTAATATTAACAATTTATAGTGAGTCAAACTTATTTCACATTCTTTTCCTTCTCTACATTTTCAACAAACTTATTTCTCAACAAAAACATTTCATATAAATTTGATTCAAACCATTTCAAAATTTTAATATCTGTTTAAAAAGAATAAAAAGGATTTCGAACGTCTAATTTAAAAACAAAAAATTTACGATTTTTTGAACGTTTGGTTTGTATTTCTAAAATTTAAATTCTAAATTTGACTCAAACAAACACTAATTAATTTAAACATTAAATTTGACTCACTATTAATTATCTTCCTCATTGTGGCAAGGAAAAAAAACAAATCATTGTTAGAAAATATAAAAAATATATTTCTTAACAACTTATACCACATTGTTTTATAATGTCATTTTTGCCACACTAGATAGGCTCAAGGTTATGATATATGAGTTGAGTTATGTGTTTCTGCTGTAAGTTTGTCATGCAAAAGTTATATTGTAACCCTGTGTTTGTGCACTTTTGACTTATAAAATTGAACAACAATGAAATTTTTTGTGAATTTGGTTAGTTCAACGACTCTTAGGGGGTGTATTGGATGGAGATTTCAAAAGATTTTAATGAATTGTTTTCGGACAAAAAAATCTGTTGGTAATTGATTAGAATTTTAATGGATTGAAAAAAAGTCACGTGGTATTCGATTAGAATTTTAAAGGATTATTTTAAAATCCGTCCAAATCTGTTGGTATTCAATCAGGATTTTAAACAATGGAATCACAATCTCGTGGTATTCAAAAATCCGACGATTTTAATGAATTTTCTATTGATGTGGATTTCGTGAGACTTTTTAGTGAAAAATATAAATAGGATGTCTCTCTCACAATCTCACCCTAACCCCTAAGATTTTTTGAGATTCTTCTATTGCAGTGTTTTCTTCTTTCTTTGACAAGTTGACTGTTCGAAATTGGGTTCCACCATGAGAGCTTCATCTAAACAAAACAACACGGAAACAACAAAACAATACAACAAACTAAAAAACAACAACATATTTTTGAGCGATTTTCATCACAAAACAACACAGCAACAACAAACCAACGAGATTTTAATATAATCTATCTCAAAACAATACTTCCACATTAGTATGCATATATAATGCCTCCAGTTCACCTGCTGACGGTGAAGGAGGGCCCACAAGATGACAAAGTCTCCTTCCAGCACCTTCGAGTGATTATGCGGGCGCTGGAAAATAATATGTGTCACCACGTAATGAAGAATGCGAGCAGACACCGACAAGTTGCTCACAGGATAATGAGCAAAATGTCCGGCCTCAGCGTCTGCCCTCCTAGTCTCTGTAACAATGGCCTCCCGGTGATAATCACCAAATATATGATGTATGTCTCCATCATATAGTGCTGCTCCTGTGACACCATCAAAATCGAACCCCAGTAGCTCCGTCCAGATAGGAGCAGTCATGATGATATCAATCCAGCAGACACGGGAAGTCAGCTCGCCATGCGCATAGCCTAGGTTCTGGTAGAAGGCTCTCACCATAACCTCTGAGTATGGGCACCGCATCTTCGCAAGGACAAGTAAATGTGTCTCCTCAAGAAGCGGCACAATGTCGAAACGCTCCAAGTTGAAGAAGGCCGAGTCCAGTGATTTCGGCTCGCAAATCTTCCGGCTCATGAAAAACTTCACAAACCTCTCGTGTGCAAGTATGTCATCCTCAAACAAATATCCGAACGTCAAGTTCGGAGCCTGACTCACAGTAGCCTGGGGCTGAGAGGATGACGACCCATCGTGACGACTCTTGGTTCTTCTCTCGGTATCCCTCAATGGCAGCTTTGAAACACGTCTAGAAGTCATTGCATCACACTATTAAACTGAAAAAAAAAACCCAAAATCAAATATCAGAAACATACAGGTTAGGGTTAGGGTGGTAGTTAGTAATTTCAAAAATTAATCGGTCATAATCAAATGACATAACCATGCAAACTACAAAAACGCAATAATTTCAAATGAGGGAGGGACAAACATATCAAAATCAGAACATAATTGATAAAAAGAAAAAAAAATAACCTTGGATGGATTTCAATCGGTACAAGGCAGAGATTCACACGTGCACGAACTGATGATCACAAAATAGAAGAATTTGAGCAAGATTTCGTCCTCAATCGCGCAACCAACACACCTCCAACAGCTCTACTCGGGTACCCCTTTGTGTGTTTTTCAAATGGGGGCTGCTGGGTTATATAAAATCCCTACCGTTGAGATATACCCGGGTACACTCCTCCCTACCCGGGTAAATAATTCAGGCAATTTCCCAGGTGCCAAGAAAAGTACCCGAGTACACCCATCACTACCTGGGTAGGCACAAAATTTCAAAAAATACCCAGGTAGGTTTGGTGGTCAACGGTCAAACAAGGGCAGATTAGTGTTACGTTTTTTGAGGGGGTTAAATTTTCGAAATAGTTAATAATGAAGATAAATTTGATAATTAATTATTAATAAAGGGTTATAAGGGTCAAAAAGCCCCTTAAGAAAATGTGAGAGAAGAGAAGGGTTATAAGTTTATAACCATCAAATTAAAAGAAATTAGTAAATAAGATTTAATTATAAGAGGTTACGAGTAAAAAGAGCCCGCAAAGCAAACAAATAAGGAGAAATAAGTTTCATTTATAAAAAGAAGAAGAAAAAAAAATTAAGTTTTTTATGTTACTTTAAATAATTTTATATAATATTTATTAAAATGACATTAAAAAATTAAAAATTATTATAACCTTAAACAAATTAAAATATGACAGATACCGTGATTTATACCCAAAATGACCTCTTTCTATGAATATTATACACTCGTAAATAAATAAACATAGTTAAGAGTTTATTTGAGGCAAAAGAAACGTGGTGGAAGAAGCAAGAAAGTTATAGTGTTGTTGAAGAGGTTTTCTTCTCTGCTAAGGACACGACGACGTACATACATACCTAACTCATAAACCATTGTGTGTTTTGAGTTTCAGTTTGAGTTGATCGGGGATCGATGAATACGACGCCGTTCATGGACAAGCAGATAATGGATCTAACACATGGATCTTCAACTCAGTCCAATAAGGACTTGATCGACCTCATGAAGCATCAACAACATCAAAATCAACACGAAAACCAAGTTGTTGAAGAAGAAGAACGACAACAACAAGAACAAGAAGGACAAGGGCGTGGCAATGGTGTCAACAAAGACGACATCGTTCCGAGCTACGATTTCCAACCGATTCGCCCACTCGCCGCTTCAACTCAGCCTTCTAATTACGATTCTGCCCCCAGTTTCGGTGCCGCTTTTACTAGGCCTTGGAACTCTGATTCCAACTCTAATTCTTCCCCTCCTATCTTCAAAGTATAATTCTCACCTTTTTTACCCAAATTTTCAATCTTTACCTCATTTGCTTATCTGGGTATTGTTTAGATACATGTTTTTTTATGGCTGTTGTTGGAACTTGGAATTTTTTGCTTGTTATGATTGGCTTATCCGATTAATTATGGATGTTAAATTAATTAGGGTGATAATGAATTGTTAAGCCTTGTTTGGTAATTAAATTGATGTGGTCTCCCTGTGTGACTTGTGGTTTTGCAATCTCTCAATGCATGGGGAGGAGGTATATGTAATATTTCGCTGTTGTTTTTGCTTATTGCTATTTTTGAAATTATGCATATTTGAGTATATTCATAATAGCAAGTGCGTATTGAAAATGGAAGATGAGTTTGTGAGATCTTGGGGTTTCAGCATTGAAAGTTAGGAGGCCACTCAGTTTCAGTCTAACATATTTGTACATTCTACCAAAGAGCCCTTTTGGGCTTGAGTGCTTGACCATAAAATCCTATAGCTGTTTGTGGTGTTGGCTTCAAATGACAAGTCGGAGCTTTATGTTCTGGAAATTTCTTTATTTTTGTGTGTGAATTAAGATACTTGTCTTCGTGACTGGGCTCCAAATGTTGTGGTGAAAATAATTAGAGTTAGCGGACACTATCTTATTTTTATTTATTTATCATTTACTTCTTGAATATGAATTGTGCTCTCAACTTTATAGTTTAAATTGTCATATTTCTTGGATGTTGAATCAAGGTTTTGTATATTTGAATAATCTGGTGATCATATATGGTGTTGTGTTGTGTAGGAGGCATTAGTAATTTATTGTACAATCAAGGTATAGTGGTTTTTTTCTTCATCAATATTAAGTATTCATCCTTATTTTGTGCAGAACTACAGTTCTCTGGATTCTATTGAGCCTGCAAAGGTCATTGTAGAAAAGGACCGAAATGCTTCTGATACTACAATTTTGTCTGAGATTGATCGAACTGTGAAGAATCATATGGAAAATTTGGTTCATGTTCTAGAAGGTGTTAGTGCTCGGTTAACACAACTAGAAACCAGAACCCATCGTCTTGAGAATTCTGTGGATGACTTAAAGGTATCTGTTGGAAACAATCATGGTAGCACTGATGGAAAATTGAGGCATCTGGAGAATATTCTTCAAGAGGTATTTTAACATCATTATTCTCTCTTTTTTTCTTCTAATCGTAATAGTTGGCAGCATTTGGTATATTCTTATGGTTGATGTAAATATTTGTTGTATATATGTAATTATGTATATGAGATTTCCCTAAGTTTATCCTGGTAAATAAAATAATAATCAATACCGTAAATAGTTGTATCCTATAAACATTTTTTGTTCAACCATTCAATTTGATTCTAAGAATTTTTTTTGATTAACACCAGACAGGCAGACATTATGACGATCTCTTAGCATATCCATAGGGTCCTTAGTTCAGATTCTTTCTTTTCTGTCTTTATAGTTTCCTGGATAACTTTTCTGTTGAGTAAAATAAAAAACAAAAGATGGCCCATGAACAAGACTCCCATCATTGTTGGGGATGTGGTTTTGAGAGATCAGATCTACGCAGACTTATCCTTGTAAGGGTAAAGGCTTTTACCGCAACTAAAATTCTTGATCACCAGCTCACAAGGCTTTGTTAGTATATGGACAAGTTTTAGTTCTGTGAGCTTATAATTTGTTCCAGTTTTTTAGTTTTTTATTTATTTTAATAGTGGCTTTTCCTTTTTAAATGCTTGAAGACTCAAGATTGAGTTTCTCCTGAGGAAAATGGTGTAGGTATAAGCTTATAGAGCAAAAGATCTCATTAATTTGGTCTAAATTTGATATTGAATTTGAGGCTGATTGTAACATTGTACATACTGTCAAGAACCAACTATTCCCAAAATTTTGAGCCTTTAGGTGAAAGTGTATACATTGTGGCACCCACCGTGTGCATGGTGGCCATGGGTGTCCAACAGTGACTTTGGCCAATGGATGGTAAGCTGTGATTGTACCTGAGAAAACTTATGCCACTATTTTGTGGATAAAAATGTGGTAGGGGGCACCTAGTGGTTATCATGCATGTGACCCCAAGATAATTGATGGTATTTGGAAGATTGATTCAATGTCATGGAAACTTTTAATAAAAAGATTGTATTATAATTTTATATTTTGAGTATCTTTTGTCCCAACTGTGGCATCATGCCATTCATTTATAATGTCATTTTTGGCACACTAGATAGGCTCAAGGTTATGATATTATGACTTGAGTAATGTGTTTCTGCTGTCAGTTTGTCATGCAAAAGTTATATTGTAACCCTGTGTTTGTGCACTTTTGACTTGTAAAATTGAATAAATTGAAATTTTTGTGAATTTGGTTAGTTCAACGACTCTTACTTTGTTATATAATAAGATTAATCTGAAGCCACCTAAGCTTTTGGTAGAGGTCTTTGGCAAACATGATTGAATTTAATATTTTTTTAAATTTTCAATAATAGCAAAACAATTATTAAATAGTATTGAAATGAAATTGTTAGTTCATAATGACATTCATTTTTAACATTAAGAAATAGATGATAAAATATTTGAATTAAAAACCTTTAAGAAAAAGCATCGAGGGGTTGAATTATTTAATCATCAACCCAGAGGAACACATCCCATTGTTTGGTAAGGTCAAGAAGTGGGACAACTATGCATTTATCCCAAATAAATGAAGAAAAAGAAAAAGGAAAGGGTAAACAAATTATTTGAATGAACGGTCCATGGGGAAACTTATGTAGATTTTATGTATGAGAAAAATTGCTGTATGTACGTGCTACCATTGGGATATAATCCTGACTTTTACTTTAGCTCTAAGTTTTAGTTCGTGATTTGTTGTAATTTATTCTCGTACTGGTCCTTTTTTCACTATTTTGCTTGACACACAAAATATACAGGTGCAAACAGGGGTGGAGACTATCAAGGACAAGCAAGATATAATGCAAGCTCAGCTGCAACTGGCGAAGCTACAATTATCCAAGACAGATCAACAATCAGAAACTCAAACTACTGCAATTACAGATCCTGTGCAGCAAGCTGCGTCTGCTCCCCTGCAATCTCAACAACACCATCCTTCCCCCATAAATCTTCCACAATCAATTCCTGTGGTTCCTCCCCCAAATGCACCTCCTCAACCTCCCCCCCAACAGGGTTTGCCACCTCAAGTTCAACTTCCAAATCAATTCTCTCAGAACCAAATCCCAGCTGTTCCTCAAAGAGATCCATACTTCCAACCTCCGGTTCAATCTCAGGAAACCCCAAATCAGCAATACCAAATGGCTTTAGCTCCGCAGCCACATCCTCAGCCTGGGGCACCTCCTCATCAACAGTATCAACAAACCCCTCCTCCCCAGTACTCTCAGCCAGCTCCTCATCTTCCTCAACCGCAGCCTTCACTGTCACCCATAAATCTGCCTCTACTACAATCTTCACTAGGTCACCATGTAGAGGAACCGCCTTATGTTCCTTCTCAGAATTATCCTCCCAATATCCGACAGCAACCATCTCAGCCACCGAGTGGACCCCCTCATTCCCAACAGTTCTATGGGACACCATCCAATGCATATGAACCACCATTGAGTAGATCTGGTTCAGGTTATTCTTCTGGATATGGTACATCATCTGGATACAGTACATTATCCGGGCCTGCTGAGGCATATCGTTATGGTGGATCACTTCAGTATGGTGGCACTTCTGCACTAAAACCACCCCAACTACCCACTGCTTCTGGTTCTCCAAGTGGTGGAAGTGGTTATCCACAGCTCCCTACTGCTCGGGTACTCCCACAAGCATTACCTACTGCATCTGCGGCAAGTGGTGGTTCAGGTTCTGGTGGAACTGGAAACAAGGTTTCTATTGATGATGTAGTCGACAAAGTGTCGAGTATGGGATTCCCTAGAGACCATGTGAGGGCAACAGTTCGGAAGCTGACAGATAATGGTCAATCAGTTGACCTAAATGCAGTGCTGGATAAGCTTATGAATGAAGGTGAAATGCAGCCTCAAAGAGGTTGGTTTGGTCGGTAGCATGACATTGTTCAATTGGATTGTGTATAGAAGAATCACTTGTTCCGTGATGAAGATTTATGAGGAAGGAGGGCTTTATGGTGGATTGTGCCAAATTGGATATTTTGACTCTTCTTTCTTTTCTTTTTCTTTTTTCCCTTTGTTCTTGTTTCTTGGAGAGTTGAAACTCGTATGCTTTCTTGTCTTGGACCGATTTATCTTGATGTTTTTTCTGTATATTCACAATAAATAGATGTGGATTTCTAAAAATTACTTTGAACATTCAAGATTTGTTTGTTAGTTTCCATGTTATATTTTCTTTGATTTGGGTTGATTTATCCGTTAATGTTTTGATCCTCACCAACTTTGCGACTATTAGCTGGTTGCTTACAATCTCGCTTGCTGAGGACTTTGTCACGAGGCAATGGTGGACGAGGTGATGTGCGCTAAGAAACATGATTTGAATATGGTTGTGGAGAACAGTGAGTATATACATAGGATTTCATATCATATAATGAACTTGTTTTACCAGTTACTTGGATAACATTATCAGCAATCAAATGTAAGAGTCTAGCATGGGATCTTTATTAAGCAAGAGCATTGTGGTTATTATAATGTAACTGTCCGTATCTTTTAATGCTGTGTCATTAGTGAGGAAAGGATGAGAAGTATGTGCGAGTGATCAAAATGTGGATAGAGAATATGGGTTTGATTTTTATCAAATATATCATTTTCGGAAGAGACGATAAGCTTTAATTGAGATTAAGCCCTGACTTGTGATTAGTCTCATTAGCTGGCTCAAAGAATTGAATATTGTGGAGATATTTGGAATGTCGATTCATCTCAAAAAGATAATTATAATCGATATGTCAAAAAAAAAAGTGAGTTATTGATAACCAAAATGCATATATGACTTCTGATAATAACTATCATGTACTCGTGCAACCTTGTATTATTGTATACATTTTTGTAAGAATAACCCTTTATTAATCCTAGGGTATCCCCTAACTTTTTTATAATTTAGTATAATTATAAATTATACTATAATTTGTTTATGACTCGTTAACAATTGATACGCCAATAGAGTTTTCAGTTTTGCAATGAGATGTCTTTTTTTTTTCATAACGAAATTTTTTTCCTAGAGCATATGTGTTCCAGCTGTTAATGTTAAAAGTTATGGAGTATCTGCTAAACTTGTTGACTTGTAATGAAATAATTGCCTCATGTAGCTTTCTAGCCCTCACTATAAGTAGAACATCACACAAACATGGAGAACGAGGAAAAGCATGATGAGATTAATAGCTCATTGCTTGATTCAGTATAAAACAAAGTGAATTGAGGTTTCTTGTTTAAAGAGAAAATGAATATGCTTTCTAGTTTCTAATGACCTAAATTTAGTGTACGTTTTTTGTGTAAAACTAGCAATTGGACCAATTTTTTTTTACCATGCCACAGTACGTTATACACATAAAAGATTTATTGTTAAAATTATTTAACATGCAAGACTTATTATATACCTATGCATGGATGAGTATTAATTATTAGGAATCATAATCTAATGTTTCATTTAATATAATTAATTATGTGCGAGGATATCATGTATTTATAGACACATTAACATTGATCATTTTCTCATTTTTTGTCCTAATTGCTTTTCTCTCATTCATCTCCGTTGATTTATTTATAGAGGACTTAAATCCTTTCACATGATTAACTCATGTTAAATAATACATGCAGAGGGTTCGTTCCTTAATTAAATCATGTAAATTTTTTTAAATTTTTTCTTATTTAATAATGTAAATATATTCTCTCATATCTTTTGTTTTAATACGATCACGTAATGTGAAAAATCTCATTTATTCACAGACATATTGATGATTACTGCTTTATTAACAAAATTTGTAAAATGGAGAAAAAAAAATCATTGGAATTACCAATCATTATAAATCACTAAATGCCTGATAAAATGGAAAAATCTCTTTGAAATTAGAGAAGAAACTGTTATGCTTTACAACTCGATTAAGAATGAATATTACAACGGGAGTGGATTTTCTTATGTTAAATAAAACATGATATGATCATGTGAGGGAATTATTTTCATTTAAAGATTGATCAATGATGATAAGTGATCAGACTAATATAATATGGGCTGGCCAATATGTACCGGGCCTAATCAGACATGGTTGATGTGAGAAGACTTTGGGCTGGTTTACTGTTCTCTGGGCTGTTGATAGTTGTTGGTTACACGATGAGATGATTATCCTTTGGCGCGATGATCTTGACTGGGGGTGTACCTGCAATGACACTCCGACGCTCATGTCAGTATCAAAGTCAGACTTATGTGGTATTCTTACTGAATTATATTATTATACATGGGTTTGTACCCTTTGCTTATATAGTGAATCAAATACTGCCTTTTGTAACATCCCAAGCACTGACGAGGACGGAGAGTGATCGCCGGTGCAAAGAGGCACGGACAAGAAGCGGCTCCTGACAGGCTTCTAGCGGGGGGTTACATGCATGAATGAATCAAATCGACACCCGAAAGAGAGGGATTCCAAAGGTTGTGCAGGTATAAGGCTGCACAGTTTGGGATAGCTTATAAGAATTAATTGGTATTACCTGTGCTAACAAGATGCATCTGCCTTTCGGTAGCCCGGAACGGAAGAACTCCATAGTTAAGCGTGCTTGACTTGGAGCAATTCTGGGATGGGTGATCTCCTGGGAAGTTTTCCCGAAAAGTGTGCGAGTGAGGAAAAAACACACTGAAAAGTCTCGTGTTAGTATGTGGGGATAATCGTTAATTCTTGAAGTGGCCGGGCGTTACACCTTTGATAGGCAGTGTATCTTCTGATTGGCTGTAGATGGGGTGCAGGTTCAACTGATGTTGCTCTGACCCTATCTCATTATATCAGGCTATCTTGATAGAGTAGTGGCAAGCTGGTGTTGTCTCTTGTGTATTAGTTCTATAGCGCGGTGGCTTTTTTACCTATTTGATCACTTCCTTCACTATGAAGTTACGTTAAAGACGATTTGGGCGCGATGAAGCCATCGCGCCTCTAATTTCTTTTACGCGACATGGATATCACGCATTACTTGGGCCCTTAACCCTTTACGGGCCTATTGTGTTTGGGCTTTAACCTTTAGTGGGTCTACTATATTTTATCCAGATCAATAAGGAAGAGTGAGAAAAATATTGAAATAAGTAGTTGCATTATCATCACCGTTGATTTATTTTTGTGTGGTTGTGATTTTTTTCACATGACTATATCATGTTTTATTTAATATGAGAAGATCCATTTTCATCTTATTATACTTTTGTTACAAGGAAGAGTTAGCTCTAAGGTCATACTTAAGGAACATAATAACTAAAGGAAGTTGAATAAAAATCTCAATTTATAAACAAGAAAAAGGAAACATGAGATATTCCTTCATTATTTAGTATTTGTTCTAGTCCAGCCGAACCTATTCAGTCGAGTTCTAATATGTCCAGAGGGTCCACTATTATCCAGCACGTGGAGTATTTAGCTTCTTCATATACGTGTTCCCTCACGTTTTCCTTGCACGCATAACCCTTTACATTTGACAGGTCATGCTGCCTCACATCTAGTGAGATCCACACGATTGCAAAATGATTATTGCGTCACACTTTGCACACTAAAAAGAAATCTCTAACCTCATATATATATATATATATATATATATATATATATATATAAATAAAGGGATCTTATCTCTTCTATCATTCATCTTCTCTATTCTACTCACTATTATTATTATTATTATTATAATTATTATGCTGAATTCTCTCCACAATCATTACCCATATACACCATACGGTTGTAAAACGATTATGGCGTCACACTTTGCACACTAAAAAGGAATCTCTAACCTCATATATATATATATATATGAGGTAGGATCCTTTGACACCGGTGTCAAATTTGAAATTTGACACCTCATCTGATAGCCATTAGATCAAAAAAGATCAACGACTCTGATTTGTAAGCATGTGACACCATTGATCTTTTTTGATCTAATGGTTATCAGATGAGGTGTCAAATTTAAAATTTGACACTGGTGTCAAAGGATCTACTTCTATATATATATATATATATATATATATATATATATATATATATATATATATATACATATAGGGATAGGATATTGTGACACCCAAGTTATGTTACACCCATGTGACACCCAGTCAATCTCACCGTTAGATCGCTTATGTTGATCCAACGATTATATTTATTTCCATCTTTGTATGGTCATGATTTCCCAAATTTAAAGTGAAAGCATTAAATATGGGAAATCATAACCATACAAAGGTAGAAATAAATGTAAAATATTAAATTTGGGAAATCATGACCATACAAAGATGGAAATAAATATAACCATTGGATCAACATAATCGATCTAACGGTGAGATTGACTAGGTGTCACATGGGTGTAACATAACTTGGGTGTCACAATATCCTATCCCATATATATATATATATAGAAAAAGGTCTTATCTCGTCTATTATTCATCTTCTCTATTCTACTCACTATTATTATTATTATTATGAATTCTCTACACAACCATAACCCATATACACCATTCCCCTTCTACACCCTCAATACCTTTAAAGCTAATCGAAAACACCACAAGATCATTGGTTCGGGGTGTTCGCGGTCTGGATTGGATCGGTTTTGGAAGCAAAAATCATCTAATCCAATCCCTTTGGTTTGATCATATAATCATCCATTCGATTTGGATTTCTTTTCAAATCAAATCCGATCCGATACAATCCAATTTTTTTCGGTTTGGATTGGATCGGTTTTCTGAAAATCTTAAAATTTGTTTCATGATTATTGTACAAATAATATCTTTTGTATATATTGGTTTTGTAATTTTTTTTTTAAATACAAAAGCATTAGTAAACGATAATATAATTTTTTTTGACAATGAGATATGAAACTTTACACAGATGAATTTTGTTGATGAGATGTGACTAGGTCTTTTCTTGGGTTTAATTGATGGATTAACGGGTCTTGGGTTTAGAAATTTTTGAGTTATGATTAGGGAAAGACCCAAGTAGGTAGAGGAAAATTAATATATTAGATCAATTTTCATCAATCGATCTGAAAACCGATCCAATTCAATTAAATTTGCGATTTTTTTGTCAGTTTTCAGTTTTTCGATTTTCAGTTTATCTGGTTATCAATTTTTCGGTTCGGTCACCGCGATTTGAATCGGTTGATGAACCCATAGTGTTACCTCTTATGTCTTCTTTAGATTAACGTATATTACCCATTTGGAAACATATTTCCATCTCATACTCTAATTCAGTTCAGTATTAAACTATGGACGATTGAAAATCAATTCTATTTTGTTGATGTGGTGTGTGTGACTTTCTACAAATGATTTTTTTTAGAGTCTACGAGAGGTTCATTAAATTACATTACACTACATAAATTATAATTATGAATTTACATTTGAAAATCATTTTTTTGTTATGCTAAAAATGCATAAAAATACCAAGTAAAAAAAAAAGAAAATAGATTATTTCATTTGATTAAGTTGTTTTGTTTCCTTTCCTCCAACCTCTCTCTCTCTCTCCTAAGTCTCGAGGCAGAGAGCCGCACGCACCACGCTCTCACTCTCAGCTCCTCCGTCCAATCGCCGCAGCCGCCGCCGACAACTGTCATCGCCGTATACGAAGGTCGCCTCTTCTTCCACGACTCCTTCTTCTTCCTCAGGTTCTCTCTCTCTTTCTCTCTCTAAAAAATTATGTGGATAAGATAGGTTGTTCGAATTGCCTCTCTCTTTTCTTAATTGAAGGAATGGATGGAATAGCCATGTATATTTGTGATTGCGTTCTCTTTCGTTTTCAGTGAATTTTTGTGTTTTGAAGGGGGATTCGTAATTTGGTGATTTTCTCCGTCGTTATTAACGTTAACCCCCTTGCGTGGTAGACGCACAGTGTAGTGGTTGTTATTTGATGACTTGGAGGGTAGAATACGAATGAAAGAGCGTCGGGATGCGAACAAGGATTTTGGTTAGGGCAAACAATAGTGGGAGATCTTTCCAATTAGGCTATCACTTGGATTAATCAGTGTTTTCAACAGCGTTGATGAATAATCAAATGACACTTTATTTTTTATTTTTTGTAATTTGCTTGATTGCTGGGGTTTCAGTTGTGATTTGACCTGCAGGTTTGAGCTGTTGATAACTACTTTGGTCTAGAATGTATTTAGCTTAGAGTGGTGAAATTACTGTTACTGCATTGTCATAGATGATGATGTTGGGTAGCTGGAGATCTGTTGCCTCCTTTTATGGTAAAGTCCTAATGTGTTGTATGATATTGTGATGTGTTGTTTTATTTCTGAATCAGCTGCACATTTGTTTCTATGTTGCCCAGCGGCTGTATTTGTGGTGGGCTTTTTGTAGTCTTTGATGAAATCAACCTTGGGTGTGTCCTGAAAACACGGATATTTTTATTTATATATTTATTTATAATTTGATGAGCCAAACTCCTTTTTGGCGTTAGGTGGTTACAAGTATTTATGGTTTTATTGTCTTAATTTGCAAAACATGCTGCATAGTTCACATATATCTAAGAAACCATTGGGACATGCCGAATTCTTCTCTTATTGTTTAACAGGCTTAGTAAGCCTTTCTCACTCACTACAATTGAACGGAAGAGTTTGGGTTTCATATCGGTTTATCCTCTTGTAATTGTTTGAGTTTCTTGCGTTGTAATTGTTATGAGTTTCTTGCGTGTTATCCGTTGAGTATTGTTTCATGAAATAAAAAAATAACTTCCAAGACCTTTTTCTTTATTTTTGGTTCTTTATAGGAATAATATGAATGACTTGCTGCACGTGACTCCCAATTAAGGCATCATCTTTTGATGTTTGTTTAATGTGTTTTGGAAATTCAGAATATCTTTCTTCACAAATATTCTGCAATTAGTAAATTAAGATTTGCAAATTGACTGTGTCACATATTCCTTTGCACTGAGTGCGAGGATACATGACTAGGAAACTGGCCATTAAAAGCACATAACATAATATATATATCTAAGTAGCCTGTGCCTTATGAATTTGCTGTGGGTAATATTGTTAATCCTTTATATTTATAATATGACATCAAATTTTCTCGTATTTGATCTTCTAGTTTTTCTATTGATGTAGGTCCCTTTGTATTTCTGGAACTGTTCCGGACGACATAAGCTGGCATATCATTCCTAGTTGGGGGTTGGAAGAAGATACTGTAAAACTTCCATTAAAAGATAATCAATGGAGCTGAAAGTTTCATCTCCAAAACCAGAATCTGTTGCACCATCTGATTGTGTCAGTGATCCCGAGGAGAAGGAAGTGAGTGATGATGATGATGATGATCGGAATCATAAGCATCGGAGGCGGGAAGCTCGTTCGCAATCTTTGGAGAGAGATGTTTCAGACGCTGTTATTAGCAGGCCATTCAGAAAGCGTAACAAAAATTTTGGGAATCGGCATCCTTTCAGGGAAAATGAATCTCTAGCCTTTGAAACACTGAAAAATTACAGTGATGCCACCGCACATAAAGAATTCTATTCCAAGTTTGAAAGAATGCGCCCTGGCTTGACTTCAATTCCTCGAACACCTTTGGATATGAGTCAACGACTACGGGCAAACCAATCATTTACTGTAGACCCTGGTGCTGGTAGGGGAAGAGGCAGGGAATCTGGTTTTTGGAATCAACGTGAATCTAGGTTCAGCTCAATTGTTGCTGCTTCCCAAATGGTTCCGCAGGGGTCCATTCCACCAAGCCTGTATACTGGGCGCGGGTTACCAAATGTTTCCAATGCACAAAATGCATCCTGGAACACATTTGGTTTACTTCCAGCTGTACCCAATGGTGGCCTAGATATGCTTCATCCAATGGGTTTACAAGGAACGCTCAGACCACCTATTAATTCATCTTTAAATGTGAATATTCCACGCCAACGATGTAGAGATTTTGAGGAACGAGGATTTTGCCTTAGAGGGGACATGTGCCCTATGGAACATGGTGTTAATCGGATTGTCATTGAAGATGTTCAGGTACCTTTTTTCTTAAGATATTTCTTGTTGTTCAGCCAACAAGAGCGAAGTTTATATTTCAAATTTAATGAGAAATTCTATAATAGAATAAATTCAATAGAATAATATTCCTATTTTGTTTCACTTCAATGAAGAATAGACTGACTGTAGTTGAAATCAATTCAGAATTCTTGCACAACAATTATGTTTCAGTTGTTCATATACCGAGGAAGTTTTAATGTATGATCTGCTGGCTTGGTTGGGACAAAACTTGTTGATGACTTGCTGTTGCATTTGCCTGTTTTATTGGCTGTTCCGGTAGCATTTATTGTCCTTCCCTTTTGCATGTCTCTCATCTCTTGTGAATCTTAATCAAACTTTGTTTTATCAAAGTGAAAAGAAATGATAATTCCTCTGAGTATTACTTATAAAGCAATGGCATGTGCAATGCATGATTCATTTATATTAGTTATATTATTATTAGTTATTCTTACACCGGTGTAACAATAAGAAGTCTTATATTAAGTCTTGGTCATTAATTTGCTTGCACCTAACAGCTCAAATATCTAATAAATTAGAACTATTGGATATAAATAAGATCAATAGTTAAGATTGAGAGTGTAACTTATACCAGAACAAAATTATCCTGACCCTATTATTAAATATATTAAGGGGTTTGTTTTTCTCATGTTGCATAAGAAAACAAACCCTTCCTACACACACCATAAAAAGGTGTGCCACTTTTTTTTTGTTTTTTGTTTTAAATATGTGGGTCCCACACTTGATGTATCTATGACATGAGATTAGGATTTTCCTACAACATTTTATTTTTCCCATCATAAAACACAACATCAGACACTCCAAGCAAAAATAAGGCTGAATTGAAGTGGTTTCTAAAATGAAAACCTCACATTAAAAAAATTGTGAGGTTTGATTTGAAAATTAGCTTCAATTTTAATCATATGTTCTTCAATTCAAGTTATATGTATCATTCCTCAAGTTTATTTGGATAAAGATTATAATCATGCATGGTAGTCATACTTATTAATCTCGGATAGCGGCGCGTAGCTGCTGACCCTCCAAACTGCTATAGCGCTATAGCGGGTAGCGCTACAACGCTACTGTGCAAAGCGTACTTAAGTGATACACTAAACTGTACTACACAAATATAAAACTTAAAATATGAAAATGTGACATAAAAAACAAATTTGAAGGATCTCAAACTTAAAACATAAATGATTTCAAATATTAAAATTCAAATCATAAGCAAATTGAAGGAATTTAAGTCTCAAATAATGTAACACAACAAAATAAGGTGTTAAAATTAGTCAAAATTCAAACTACCACTTAAGTGAAATGTCAAAATCAAAGAACTTAAGGAACTAATCATAATTGAAATCATGAACATCCAAATCTTCATCTTCACTTTCACTTGTATCTAAGTTGTAAATCTCTTCCTTCTACGACGAGAACACTTTTGCAGAAACTATTGTAGCGGTATTGCGCCGCTATTCAACAGCAATAGCGGCCGCTACATCCGCTACACTTTGCCTGACAGTTGCGGCGCGGTCTGTGGCGGCTGGCTACTGCACTGCAACGCAACTCTGCTATAGCGCACTAAAGCGGGGCTATTCACAAGTATGATGGTAGCAGCCATAAAACGTGGGGGAATTTTCACAGTAAAATGTGTATTTTTAACGTTGTGAAATTCATGTATACTTTGCATATGAAAAACCCTTTGTATCTGAATGAAGCACTAGACACCCAATAAAGGGATTAAGAAGCAAAAGACAAGTTTATATGTTTGTATGACTGTGCATTATATGTTATTCTTTGATGCATTTGATTGGAATAGAACCCTTGCGTCATTAAGGGATCCTTGTCAGCCATAAACTTGTAGTAGAATAGGCTTATTACTCTTCTGTGGTGTTCTGCTCAGGGTTTGTCTAGGGGAAAGGCCATTTCCAAGATGCAGTGAGAATGCGGAACCCTTCTGCATTCATTCTTGATTTTATCTATCTTGTTTTTATCCTTATACTTTCTTTTCTTTCTAGTAAAGTTTACTTTTTGTCTGTTAGAAATATAATATAAAATTTTAAAAATCATTTATTTGCCTTCACCTAACAGTTTAAGCTTTTGAGAGAGTTGATTGCATGACATGGTATTAAGAGCTAGATTCACAAAGAACCTTAAGCAACTCGAGGCAGACCCCCACTACACCAAAACCGTGCTCTCTCAGAGTCTTCCGATTGGCCACCTGCGGAGCGCTACTGTCAGATCCTCCAACACATGCCTTCACGTGCATTTTTTTCTCCCTCCGCGTGAATCTCACGTGTCGCCCACTCACAAGCGCGTGAGTGCCACGCGTCGCCATCCAGTTGCCCACATTGTTGGTCTTGTGTTTGTCGGAGCCTCCTCTGTCCTTCTTGGTGATCAATCGTTGGGTTCTAGATCGTTTTGATAGTGGGTCATCAAATCCCACCTCATTTTGAGTACTGTTCATGTGTTTTGGGTATTATTCACCCTGTTTCAGCAACCTCATTGAGCACTTATGGCCTCAAGTGATGAAAATTCCTTTGTTTTCAGAGGCTCTTGTTTGTCCGAAGTGATAAATCTATCTTGTAATGTCCTCTTGGATAAACAATCTTATACAAAGATAAAGTTTCAGGAGTATCTCCAATTGATGGTAGAGTACCTCCCGCCAAAGACAATCAAACAGGCATAGTCCTTTGCTACCACTATCACATACACAGGTAATTCTACAATTTGCATGTCTTGTACAATAGTAATTATGTACCATGGATTCTTGATTTAGGTGCCTCTGACCATATAACTGATAATTTGTCACTTTTTTCTTCTCTCTCTCTCGACTTGACTTCTCTCGTTTTGTCACCCTAGCTTGTGGTTCTAAAGGGTCTGCCCAAGGCATTAGTCATAGTTTTCCTACTGCGTCTATATCTTCGAAACAAAACTTATTCATACCTGGACGTCCTTTTAATTTGATTTCCTTGACTCAACTTATGAGATCCCTTAACTATTCAGTAACCTTTCATTCTAATTATTCTGTCACCCAGGAACATGGTACGGGACAGGTGATTGGCGAGACCAAAGTTATCAAATGCGGATTGCGGCATATCGTGGCCAACCCCGAAAAACGCTGTAGCGCTATAGCGAGTTGCGGTTGCGGAAATAGCGGAATAGATATATTACAGAAATAACGACAAAATAATATTTTTTAAAGGAAAAGATAGTAAAATTGACAGGGAAAGACGCAGATAAACTAAAAAACCCTTAAAAAATTTTTGTTGCACATTTTAAATGTAGGAAAAAATTGACATTGTGCCTTAAGACAACAATATGGCCACGATTTGGACGCAAATGCCATAACAATGGCTGCTATTGCGTTCCGGTGCAGCGAGGCACCGCAACGCCCATACGGCGCCGCTATTGCGGCACAATTAACTTCTATGCGTGAGACATAAATCATATTGACTTTATGATCTCAAGACAACAAAACATTTGGTGTGCGTTGCTATTGAAACTTTCCTTCCATCAGTGTCTCAATCATCCTACTCTATCAAAGCTTCAACAAATGGTTCCAATTCTTGCTAGCTTAAAATCTTTAAACTGTGAGTCATGTCAACTTGGGAAACATGTCCAGGCTTTCTTTCCTACTTAGTACAAGAGTCAAACTAAATCTAGTTTTTCTGTCATTCATCTTGTTATATAGGGCCCAAGTCAGGTCTCCATACCCTCTGGTTTTAAGTATTTTGATACCTTCATTGATGATTTTTCATGGTGTGCTTGGCTATTATTAATGAAAGACGGGTCTGAACTCTTTTCCATATTTAAGTTGTTCTATACTAAAATTCAAAACTAGATTTGTAAGTTTATCAAGGTTTTGTCTAGTGACAATGCTAAGGAATATTTTTCCACTGATTTTTGATCATTTGTGTCTTTTCGTGGTATTTTACATCAATCTTCATGTCCACACATCTCCTGACAAAATGTAGTAGCTGAAAGAAAAACCGTCATCTTATTGAAACAACTTGTACATTGTTATTACAAGCAAGGATGCCTTTGAATTTTTGGATTGATGGTCTCCTAACTACTAACTATTTAATCAAATTGTATGCTCTCATTTGTTATCAAAGAGGGCGAGCCTGGGGTGGTGGTAAAGTTGCTTCTTTGTGACTGAAAAGTCATGGTTCGTATCCGAGAAACAGCTTCATTGCAAATATGCAAGGATAAGATTGCATACAAGGATTGCGCTCACCCCTACTCTCGATAGTCAGGGTTTAATGGGGAGTGGTTATGCTCTCATCTGTCATCAATAATAAAGTTTGTCTTGTCTTTTACTGTTAGATCCCACCTCTCCCTTATATCCCATTACTCCTCGGGTGTTTGGATGTACTTATTTTGTTCATGATCTTTCTCCAAGCCGCGATAAGTTGTTTCCTTGTGCTATTAAATGTGTCTTCCTTGGCTATTCCAGGATGTTAAAAGGATATCGTTATTATTCTTCTATCACTTGCCGATTGTATACCTTTGCCAATGTCACTTTCTTTGAAGACACACCTTACGTCATGTCTTCTATTGACTTTAACGTGATTTCTGAGGTTTTACCTTTGATGCTCCGACAGGACTAGAATGCAAATCCCAAATTTCTCCCCCCCCCTCCCCCAAAAAAAAAAATGCTATGTTTCACATTGGGAAAGAGACAATCAACAACAAGAAGGGCTAGATTTGACGAGATAATAGTGTGAGCATGCTGGAGTGGAGGATCAAAAGAACATGAGAAGGCCTGGAGAGGAACAATAAGTGTTGGGCGGACATCGAGTGGCTTAGGCAACAGTGGAAAGAAGCTGGGAAATGCCGAAAAAAGTACTTGTAAAGTTGGAATGTTGGAAAAGGAAAAAAAAAAGATGGACCCTCAACTAGGAAGGACTAGATTTAAATGAATATGGTTGGAAAGACTAAAACACCAAGGAATAGCCGGAAAAAGTCATTGAAAAAACACCAAAGAGAGAAACTTGCTCAGAAAGGTGTTGGAATGCCAAAAGGAGACCCAAAAATAGTGGGCAAACATTCCAAAAAACCATATTCGAACATTGGGCCCAAAATTGTAAGCTTTAACTTTTCACAAGGGCGTGCTTGAAGGCTTCTGAATCTAAGTCAAGAATGTATGGACTCATCTCATCGGCACGATCCATATTTGTCGTTCATTGGCCGGAAAACTTGTTTGACTCGCCGGAGAAAGCTTGAAATGGTGGAACCATTCTCGAAAAAGGCTGGATATGGACAAATTAGGCCAACGTGCTCTTGTTTGTGGAGGGCGGACAAAGGCGTCTGCTAGACGCTCTATGACATACGTGTGGAAGAAATTTGCAGCCACAACTAAAGGTAGTGTATGTCAGTGCGTGAGAAAGTCTTTATCCACCAGACTTGGATGGTTGGATAGATCGAGAGAAGGAAGTCTTGATCCGCTAGTCGTTAGTTGGAAAGGTCATTGACGAATATGCATACGACGGCTGGCTCAGGTAACTAGAAATGCAACAAGTGTATGAGAATGTTGCCAAAGGGACTATACGACTAAGAGATGAAGGTTGCTTGAGATGCACGGGAACAAACAAATAAGAGATGGTAGATGGAAATAGTAATTGACGAAGAGTTTCAAATTTTAGGGAACTCAAAAGCAAAATGGTGATGGAATAGGTCACGAAGTATCGTACCGCTTTGATGCTTTTTTGAATAATGAGAAAGCAACAGATGATTGTTGGAATTCGTATATCAAAAACACAACGGAGGCTCTATTATATATAGCGACTGTAACAATTGCATAAGACTAATTTAATTATCAACCTATTCTCAATACTTCTTGCATGGAGCAACTACCTGGGTTTGTTGCTTAGGGGGAGTTAGGTTTGGGTTCTAAGTTGAAATGGTCTCCTTGAACTTTGTCTGGTAAGTTCAGTACTGTTGTGCATGAGTTTTGGATGGCACGGAGCGAAGCTAAGCATTCAACATGTTTTATGGTCTATTTGGTAGAATTGGTTTTGGAAAATTATGATCTGTTTGGTTTAAGGAAATGTTGTAAGAAACAACATTTTGTTGTTTTCATCATTTCCTGTACAAACCTTTGAAAATAGGAAACAGAGTGAAAACATGGTAGCATTTTTGTAATTATTAGTGAAAACATAAAGCATTTCCTTGAACCAAATTGACCAAATTGGCCCATAGATATTCATTTTTCTTTTCTTGTGTGCATTGTTCCTTCTTGAACTAAACATGTTTGCATATGTTTTTTAATAGAATGCTTACATAAATTATATGCTATTGGATTTTTGTAACACAAACTTGCATTTTGTAGAACTTTTAGATATTTAATATTAATATTTATTGGAGTATTGTGTTGACTTATGTTGTACTGTCCTAGATTTTGCACCTTATCATAATTATAGTGTCTTTTGGTTGGATTAGATGCATGGTTCTTTTTATTGGGTCTGACTCATTGTTAAACTCACTAATTAATTTGTTGTTCACAATTCAGAGTCTTTCACAGTTCAACCTTCCTGTTTCGCTTCCAAGTGCACACCTAATTGGAGCACCTGCTGGATCTGGATCTCTACATTCAGTAAATGCTTCAACCACTTCTATTAACAATAAATGTATACCTGGAAAATTTTGCAAGTCTGTAGTCGGTGATGATGTTTTGCCCTTGGATGGTGCGTATCCTGGTCCTGGTTGCACAAGTGGAGCCGATCTTTATGATCCTGATCAACCCCTTTGGAATGATAGTGGTCTGGAGTCTTCAAATGCGCTCCTAACTCTTCAGTCATCCAAGATTGATGACACCGAGCCCATATCTGGTGACGCTCCAGATAGTGATTGCCCAGTCGGGACAACCAGAACTTCTGTCAGTTCACAGGGTGCTAGTTCATCTGTCTGGGCCAGAATTGGTAGTTCAAAAAACAGATTTGACATGAAAGAAAAAACTAACTCTACATTGAGTTCCTTTCATTATCCTGAGAATCAATTAAAGGAAGATAATGATGAATTAGTTGGTGCTCATAGTGCTTCCTCTCAAGGAAAGCAAATTATAGCAGATGATGCTGACCCAAAAGTCTTGGATGCTCATTTGAAGGCACAGACTGATAGTATGCGTAACATACGAAAACCATCACAAAAGGCATTGCGAACTCTATTTGTAAATGGGGTACCTCTGAAAAGTAACAAAAGGGAGGCTCTTCTTGCTCATTTTAAGAAGTTTGGGGAAGTTATTGACATTTATATTCCAGTGAACAGCGAACGAGCTTTTGTTCAATTCTCCAAGAGGGAAGAGGCTGAAGCTGCTTTGAAGGCACCGGATGCTGTAATGGGTAATCGGTTTATCAAGCTATGGTGGGCTAATCGTGATAGTATTCGCAATGATAGCACTTCAAGTGGGAATGGTGTAATTGCAACTCCTCGTGGGCAAGCATCTGCTTTTGTTCCATCTCTTCCAGTTGTCACTGATAGGGGAAAAGATATCCATCAAGCTGATGCTTCAAAGACTACATTTGATGTACCACCACCCTCTGATCAACCTAAGCCTGTCATTGCAGATGGATCCAATGTTCCACCTCCTTTGCAAAAGAAGCTTGAAAACTTAGAGCATCTTAAGGAAGAACTGCGCAAGAAGCAGGAAATGCTGGACCAAAAGCGTAATGAGTTCAGGCGCCAGTTGAACAAACTTGAGAAACAGGTAAAACCTAAATGTCCTTGCCTTTAATTTATAATTGATGATATGTTGGTGTAGAGGCTCGTGACCTTTTGGCTGTTAGAAGCTTAAAAGGCTATACTAGTAGTAAGTAATGTGATTAGTTTGGTGTTAGGTAACACGTACCATGTATCAACAATGCATATGCTGCCTTTTTGAAGTCCAAGTGGAGGATATCTGATATCAACTAATAAAATGGATTTCATAGTTTATCCTCTACATAACTGTATTAAAAATTAGACATAGAAGTTAGGCATAATTACCGTTCTCCTGTTACATTCTGTTATCATCTTGTTCCCATGTTGATATCATTCCTTCTCATAATATAAACTCTGATTATTCACAGGCTACAGGACTCAAGGGTGAAGTAGATACCGAGCAAGCTGCCAAAAGACCCAAAACAGCATCTGATGTTGCCAAACTGGCTTCTCCTCAATCGTCTGATGCTGATCTTGGTATGGCATCTCTGCATACAGAGACAGCATCTGATAAAAACAAACAGTTGGTAAATACTGTATCCCAAAGTCCTAAAGCAAGTACAACAATGAGACTGCAAGAGTCTACAGGCTTGAAGCAGCCAATTCAACCATTAGTGCCTGTAAATAGATACAAATTGGACAATCGTCCAACTGCATTTAGAATCACCCCGCCTTTGCCGGCTGGCCTAGCAAATGTAAGTCCTCTCTCTCTGTCTTTCTATCTTTGGACTTGTTAGAAAGGAGAATTTTTGCAATGGCACAACTCGTTTATTCACTTGTTTTTAATACCATCACTTGATTAAGACTCATCACATGTTGGAGTTGGACATGCACTCACATCTGAAAACAGCAAATATTGAATCAGATATATGTCCATGTGTATTGGAAAAGGTTTCTTCTTTTTAAATTTGAATTCTGAAGACCTTCAGGTCCTAGCGATGTTGTAGTCTGTGATCTGTCTTCTTAGTTGTCTTTCCCAAATCTGAACCATTTTAGGATATTTATGAAAAAGAAATACTAGTTATTATAGATAGAAAGAAGAAATAGTAGTTACTGGTTGAGACAAGAAAATGATAGGCTTGCCATCCTTCCTTTTTATTGTTTGTATTTTTTCTAACAGGTTTGTATATGATGTGTACAACTTAATGCTAACACTCTTATAAAAATTCATACTTCAAATTCCATTAGTCACGGTGCCAATTCCCTATTATTTATACCTTTGTATGTATTTTATGGGGTGAGAGATCTGGGAGCTAGGGAAAGTTAGTTAAAGGTTTGACTCAATCCTTTGATTGGTCATCATTTAGTGTGGAGGAAAAGGGGATTGTATTTTTCAATCCACCAGTACAGTTTTCTCTTTCTTTTTTGCTTTTGGGGGTGAGGTTTCTGGGTGCAAGAGTTATGAGACCCTAATTATTCCAAGCGAAGAGAATTAAACTAAGAAAGTTGACACTCTTTAATTGTCAGTTTTCTTCCCTTTTTTTTATAATTTTATAATCTTTTAATTAAGGATATTGCTTTTCCATTTTTCTAAATTAAATAAAATGTAATAGAAATGTCTTACGACTGTCATCTATTTCATTCTCTTCATTTCCTTTCTATTGTATTACTTGGTCTTTTTCACTTTCTCTCACCAACCTAACAGGGCATAATCACATCAGTCCTAATGTCAATTAAAAGGGTTTTTCTCATTAATTACTTCATCCCAATTCTTTAGAATTTGCTTTCTACTCCTCCTTATTGTGTACAAGTTTCCCACCATAGATAGAGCCCCTTGGCTGTTTGTCTGGTTCTTTGACTTGCCTCAAGAAATGGGTGGAAAAAAACGAAGATGACTCAATGTTTAGCACAACCTGCTACACTGCTTAGTGAGCTTTAAATTCCTTCACGATTGGAAAAAACAACATAAATTGTTTATAAGTCAATGAGCAATGGTATTGATCATACATTTGACCACGTTGTGGCATAATACAAGGTTGCTTACAGTACGCACTAAGTATGAACTAGTGGTATGTATTTCTTATGGTTTAAGATAGCAGTTGCTTGTAATGAACTCCAATTAAGGGGTATAAGTTTCATTTCTTATTAGCTTGTAATAGCATTTGCATTATCCCTTACTTTTTCGCTGTATCTTCTTGGTCTCCCCTTTTTATCGATAAAGTCTTGTCAATGTAAAACAAATTATACTTACTGTGTGTTGTGTGCCTTAAGTTGTGATTATCCATATGAAGTTGATCATTGTTCATTGATCATGAGTTAGCGTGACCTACTTTTAAGAAAGAACCTACAAGATTAAATAGTTAAGCCCTTTGCATTGCATGAGTCTACTGTATTAGCTGGTATCATGTCAAAACTAAATGCCCAAGTGAAATATATTCTCCTCTCATATCGTTTTTTAATTCGAAAAGTTACTATGAGATAATTTATTGTGGTATCAGATGAAAAAAAGTGATTTTGTAGAAGTCTATCTATTTATATGGTCATTTTGTCTTAGTCTCTTAGATATGTTACTCAGCCATTATTAAACGGGGCACAGACAGCTTCATCTTGTTATGTTTTTGCTTAACTAAAATGCTGTCTTTTAGGTTGCTGTTTTGAAGGAACACTTCTTGCCATATGGTGAACTTTCCGCTGTGGAGGTAGAACATGTGCAAGCTAATGATTGTAGCCAAGAAGAGGCACACATAACTTTCACTACTCGTCGTGCAGCTGAGAGGGCATTTAGTGATGGAAAATGCTGGAAAGACCATAATCTGAAATTCATGTGGCTGGCGCCTACTAATTCTAGCAATGCCACTGGTAGTAGAGAACGTTCTCTATCTGCTCCCAAGGAGCCCTTAGACACAGAGGACCATTCTGAAGAAAAATTGGAAAACTCTGTAAACCAAGAAGCAATTGTATCAGATGGCGAGCTTAAACATTCTGAAACTAAAAATGGTTTGGAAAATATGGAAATAGAACCTGGTGAAGATCTGCAGTCTACCCCAAGGCAAGTTTCTTCTGCCAAACAATCACCTGAGGGCAATGTGTGTTGAGGATCTACTAATGGTCAGATTTGTACAGCGAGGTAAAATTTTAATCTATCAAAACTCTAATTTTCAGGATCCTATTTTTGTTCAATTTATGAAAATTTATTATTCCATAATCTCCTTTTTTAATGCTTCGAGACATGTAAATTTCTTTCTTTTTGGCTGCCTCCTGTATTTGGTGGTATTAGTTGAATGGTGCATCATGTTGTTTCTCAGCTTGGATAGTTCACCTCTAGGATAAAAGTTTTGGAGTTCAAAATTCTGTTAACGGTTACATGACAAATATTCGGGAACCCCTTTCCCTTTATGTTTCTAGTTACAGTAAATATAGTTGAAGCGATTAGTTTGACTCCATTAATCTTGAAATGTTGCTTGTTTCATTTCTACTTATTATTTTAATTTACCTTAGTGTTCTTTTTATTCCTTTGAAATTCTCTTGTTCTTAGCTTAATGCTCTTTAAAGTGAAACTGACTAATATATAAAAATTACTTATTATTAGTTATAAATTCTCACTCTCAAATTGTTGAAATTGTGTTACAAAATAAGTAATTATTAGTGACTGGTTATTTGAAGTTTTAAAAGTTTTCCTCTTATTTTTTGTACTTTTAAAATAAACTATAATAGGTTTTTTTATAGCTACTTAACGTGTTCTAGTGGTACAAATTGATAAAAATTTATTGTTTTATATTTTTCTAATTTTTTATAGAAGGAAATATCAAATACATTTTAGATTTTAAGATAATGTATGCTTTTTCTTTTTATTTAATTGCTTCTATTTTAATTTCTTAATAACTAATGCCAATATATTGAGCCTTTTTTTATTTATTATTGGTATTAATGTATACTAATGTAATTTTTGCCGTCAATAGATGCTCATGCCTTCAATTTTAGAAGGTTTCTTAAAGGGGCATTTGATAGAGGATAAAGTTTTTATTTATCTCAGGAATATGGTGTGAAAGTGAATTTTTTAGAAATGTTATTAAAAAGTTGTTTGGTAGACTAGGTCAAAATATTCCTGAAAATGTTGGGTCAATTTTTCTGATAGTATGTTTGGTTGACTGTAAAATATTGATAGGAATGTGCGTCATTTTACAAAACTAACCTTGAGACAACCTAACTTCCAGACTTCTTATCTTCTTCGACCACGATATAGATCTTTGATATATTCTACAACTCTTCCTACGACGAGCTCTCTGAGGACTTGCCGACGAAAATCCCGCCCTCGAAAATGGGCAACGAAACTACTCGTTTGCCGGCATCATTGCTTGGGTTCTCTTCGATCGGTGGTGACGGAGACAACTGAACGTCTATGGTGAAAGTAGGTCCCACTAGAACCTGCATCATTCCTTGTAACCAATTAGAGTTACATAGAGAGGGGTTATCCTTTGTTTGATGCGAATTTGTACTAAAAAAAAAATTAAAGAGAACGACAAGTAGAATAAGAGAAAGTGAGATAAGAGCATATATATATATATATATATATATATATATATATATATATATATATATATATATATATATATATAGAGAGAGAGAGAGAGAGAGAGAGAACTCTGAAAAGAAAAAAAAAAGAGAGAGAGAGGAGATAGCGTTCGTCGGTGAGAAACAATGCTAGTGCTTCTGTTCAAGATATTTTGTTTTGGCAAGTTAGACCAATTTTGTTCCCAAAGAAGAACGATAAAGAGCCAAGGTTAATTTGAAATTGCAAAAGATTCTCCTCATATGGGACTCGCAAAATACCACTTATCTTATGGTATTTTAAGTTGGTATTTTCTTTTATAAAAATGAATCCCAAGAATATGATTTTTCCAAAAAAAAAATTGCATTTCTTATACTAAACATGGATAAATTAGAATCTCAAACTCAGTTTTTCAGGAATTTATAAAAAGTCTCTATACCAAACGCCACCTTAAAGTTTAACTTGGCAAGTGAGAGTTTTCACTTGGCTATAGGGTCCCAATTATTTTGCACATTGCAAGCATTTACATAAAGTTAGCTGTAAATTGGTTTTACGTTTATATTGGGCCAATTAGAAAAGTATGTTTTTAACCTTCTAATCGTTTTAGCAACTTTAACCAATGTAGTTATTTATGGAAGAAAGGAAAGAAGCAAGAGATATCAATCAACTTAACATATTTTTTTGAATATTAAGGAAGATAAAAGGGGACAAAATTCATTGAAAGGGCCATTTTACTATACCTTGCATTTAAGGGATATTTATTATGAGGGCTCTGCCACTGATGCAAAAATAAGAGAGAAAATAAAAATGTGTCAGTGACAAAGGAATGATTTTTGCCACAATTATAGAAATCAATTTCCCATTAATTATTTGTGTAAAAATATGAATCCCCCCCCCCCCCCCCCAAATCAAGTTAGATTAAGTTGATTTGAGCATTGTGGCTTTCAATAATATTTTCTTTATTCTCCTGAACTTGAAATCTGAATTTCAATAAAAAATAATTGGAAAATTAAACCTATAAGAAAATTTCTTTTCCACCATCTGAATCATGATATTTATAATTTTTTCCCTTGGTTCAGGTTATATGTGAATTTCTTCAATCATTCATGAGTGACATTGTGAGTTTCTTCGTTTGGTAGAAGAGAACCACAAATATGCCCATGAAACACGGTTGCCCAGCCATTGACAAAAGCATGCAAAAAAACAAGAAAACTACTGTGCCATGTGACGAAAATTTTTAAGGTACCACGGTGGTAACATTTATTCAGTAGGGAACAACAATAAAAAATAGAGAGAGAAGATGAAAGTGGGATGGAAAAATAAAAAAATAAATTCAAGTGGCAATTTTTGAAAGGAAGTCGTATGTGCGACCATCGCACCAAAAGTTTGCTCCCATTTAACCATTTTGAATGTGGTATTTCAATAAGCATAGCTAAATGACAAAAAGTGTATTAAAGGGATTGACAAAACTACCCCGTCCTAGACCTAGTACCGAGCAAAGTAATGCTCAACTACCCCCCGTCATCTTTGTAACATTAAAAAATTTAAATAAAGGTTATTTTTGTCATTAATATCAAATTTTCTATTTTATATTTTACTTTCAACCAAACATAGACTCATATAATTTAACTTAATTTCTCCAGTAATATTTTAGTCAACCAAATAACTTTTTTAAAACTTTCCTACCAAACTTACTTTCCTACTGTTTTCTTAGTAATTACATTTATCTGATTAAAAAGTATTTCTTCTGTACCAAACGCTTCCTAAAGAATCATGACTTCTTTTGGTTAAAATTTTTTAAATCTTATAATTATGTTGGGCTGTACCATTAACTTGAAAGGCTGTAATCTGTTGTAGTCTTGGCCTGAGAGCATATGTGAATTAGGAATATAATTTCTTCCCCTGGCTATCTTCATTGTGTTGTTGGATTTTCGGGATTCACGGCAAAAAAGAAAAAGAAGAAAGATTTGGAGGAGCAAGTGAAAATATTTTTTATTCCATTTTAGTTCACTAAATTATTGCTCACGCGTCATATCTAATATTTAATATGCAATTGTAACAAAAACAATCTAGAAATATGAAATATGAATTTTGGATAGGTAATCCAATTAAACTATTACATTGTCCCAATGAATTATTTACTCTTTTTATTCTTAATTAAGCCAGTAGTCTTATTTAAAGTTATTTAGGTAATAGGTGAATGATCATGTGGCACGACTAAAGATTTAACAATGTTGTTACTAATTTTATTTTTGATTCTAAACTGACAATAATTTAACTTAAGAAAAAAGAAGAAGACCTAGACAGTGCAAAATATTTCTTTTATTTTCCCCCTTTGTTTATTTGTCAACTAATCTTAGTCCAAGGTCATTAGGTTGATCAAAGATCTAGCCACTTTTTCAATTATGTTTTTTTTTTTTTATCGATCAGTAAGTCTTACTTTATTTTTTTTATAAACCACATGTATTTTCTACTAGAGACAATTCTGTTCGGGACGAGTCTAAAATTAAAGCTTTAAATTCCTCTTAAAGATAATTTTGAAAAGGATCAAATACATGTTCTTACTCTCACCTGCTCAGCTTCCATACGCAAACTGAACTACCATTATTTGATAGAAAGTTTTACTCTAGACTTTCTTTAAGGGAGCGTTTGGTTGAGGAGAAATTTTTTGAATACTAGGAAAATGTAATTGATAGAGAAATGGTTGGAAAGCGAGTTTGGTAGAAAAATGTAAAAAAAGTTGTTTGGTTAGATAAATGAGAATATTATTGTCAACAAATTGTTGTTTTCTTGTTCCATTTAGCTGGGCAATTCCAAATACCACATGCCAAGTGGTATTTGTGACAGTGTATTTTGTGCAATTTTACAAGCCAATATCAATTGCTAGGGAAATGAAATTGGTGGGGAAATACTACAATCTCTTCTACCAAACATATATACTTAGATTTTCAATTTCAAATACCTATCTATCTCCTAAGATATCTCCAACCAAACACTACCTAAGAGACAATTAGAGATCTAAACAGATAATCTCTATAGTTAACTCACTAATTATTTTGTCCCGAATTGATTCGACCGTCGTCATCTGCCAAATTAATAATATCATAAGGGACAACTAAATATTTAGACAAATAATCTCTAGAGTTAATTTCTAATTCCATTTTTTTTACGTCATAGTTAATTCTATCCTCGTTCTAAAATAATAATTTATTTTACGAGGCACGATTAATAATCTCAATGATTAATTTATTTATTTTCCCTTATATTGATTGCCCCCCTACTGTTACTCGAAATTAATTAACAATTGATACTATTTAAAATTAATTAGCAATTAGCACCATAAGGAAAGGATCTGTGTCTATTTTCATACCACAGCTTATACATGAATTTGGCCATCATCGTGTATTGTTTCAATTCAAACATTTTATAGGTGTTTGACCAAAAATAAATTTCATAGGTATTTATACAAAAATAAGAACAACTTCAGAATCCAACTTATAGATATCACAAAAGTTGTCATATATATATATATATATATATATATATATATATATATATATATATATATATATATAGAGGTAGGATCCTTTGACACCAGTGTCAAATTTTAAATTTGACACCTCATTTGAAAGCCATTAGATCAAAAAAGATCAATGGTGTCACATGTTTGCAAATAAGAGTCGTTGATCTTTTTTGATCTAACGGCTCTCAGATGAGATGTCAAATTTGAAATTTGACACTGGTGTCAAAGGATCTTACCTCATATATATATATATATATATATATATATATATATATATATATATATATATATATATGCCAATTAATAAGACACTTATAATACTCTGCAAGCAAAGTTTTAGTTCACTTAACAATACAAAATACTTGACAAGCATTAAAGGGATCTCAAAAAGGAGGAAAAAATGTTAATCTTGATTAGAAAATCGAATTAAACAAGTTGCTAAATTACCTATGCAGTGAATCAAGAAATGACAACATTTTCAATCCAATTTTTCACATTACAGAGAATCTAAATACTAGTTACTTACAATTAGAAGAAAAAAATACCAATACCATGTGTCATGCAGCTAATATATGTATTGATTTATCTGTACTCATGAAACAAGTTGAATTTATAACCAAAAGCGAAGCATTTAAACCTTCATCCCTTTATCATAATTTTTCCTCAAAGGCTCCTTTAAGTGTTTTCAGTTTATGGTTCAATAGTGAAGAATGGAACCAAATCCGGTGTTTTCTGTTTAGCTTATCTTTACCTAAATGAAGTAACCATATCAAAAGGGCTATTTGCAGGGAGAAACCCTTCCAAAGTGTAGTGATCCTCATATGCCATGCCATTGATTTTACTTGATAACCAAATATGCCATGCTCATGTAATTGGGTAGGTGAGATGTTGGACAAAGTCCTATATTGTGAAAGTGTTAGACTTCAAGCATGTTGTGGCCTGATATCTCATCATTTAGTTCCATAGCTTTCTGCAATCCATGGATCATATACTTGCATGTTAAACTATTTGGAACATACCCTACCTTGAGCAGCCTATCCTGAAGCTCCATCAACTCAGCCACTTTACCAACCTCACAAAACACTTTAACAACTGCATTGTAGCTTTCAGTATCATAAATTTGAAATTCCTTGGCAATGAATTTCAATAATGACACAGCTTTATCAACATTTTTTTCTTTGCAATACCCATTTATTATTACCCTGCTTACTTCTAGATCAGGTAGAATGCCTGAACCAACCATTTCCTCCAACAAACTTTCAGCCTCCAGAGTCCTGTTTACTCTACACAGGCAGCTTATTATAGCTCTATAGGCAGTGAGATTCGGTTTCATATCCTTCTTTACCATCTCAGCTTTCAAAATTAATGCCTCTTCCACATTATTGAATTTACATAGAGACTCAACCAGTTCATGGTAAGTTCTCATTTCAGGCATATAGCCATCCTGAGATATCCTTTGCAGAAAGCTTCTAGCAGCAAATGGCCTACCTTCTTTACACAACGCAACTATAAGGTAATCAAATACATCTTCAGGAATCTTAACTCCGAATCTCTGAAGCTCCACAACCGAATTCAAGGCTGACAGAAGCTTTCCATCCCTTGCATATCCTTTAACGAGAAGCCGACAAGTGATACTGTCAGGACAAATCCCATTTCCTATCGCTTCATGCAATAGTAATCTAGACATTTGCATCTTACCTTCTCTGCAATAAGCAGATATGAGAGTATTATATGACACAATGTCTGGATCTATCCCTCTCTGAACCATCTGATTGAAAAGTTGATGAGCCTCCTTGATCTTCCCTTCATCACAAAGACCATTCATCAAGGCCGTGTACGAAATCAAATTAGGCATCACACCTCTAATGTACATGATCTTGTATAGATAAAATGCATCCTCCAACCTTCTTTTCCTACAATAGCTATTAATGAGAGTGTTATATGTCACTAAGTCAGGTTCAAATCCTTCTTCCTCCATCTTATCCAAGAATCCATTCACCTTATCCGTATCTCCATATTTGCACAAAACATGAGTCATAATGTTGAAAGTAAAAACATTCCTATGTATTCCAAGTCTTCCCATCTCTTCATATACTTCCCAGCAGTGACCAATGTAATTAAACTTAGACAAACCATTCAGTAAACAATTGCATGCAGTTACATTGGGGATAAAACAAGCCTCAACATTCTTCCTAAAAGTTGCCAAAGCCTTTTCAACCATACCTGTCTTCACATAAGCCTTGATAAGAATATCAAAGATTACAGGATTCCAATTACAATCCTCAATAGACCAAACCAAATTCTGATAAATGTCATCATTTGGAGAAACACAATCAACCTCAACCAATTGTATTAATTCAGACAACAATTTCATAGCCTGAGAGAACACTCGAGACCAAGCAAGTATGTGAACAATTATACAATAGTTGTGAACAGTAAGTGTGATACCCAAATCATTTTTAACCCAATTGAAATAGGTGAGAGCTGAAGAGTAATCAGATTGGCATCTGAGCAATACCCTTGAAATTTCTTGGGTACCCATGTGGGGAAGAATCCCTTTGATGTCATTTTGAAGAAGGGAAAGATGAGAACTTTTGTGTTTGAGGGTTGAAGAGATGAGGTTGACAATGTTATTGGGGTTTTGGGTATGGGGAAGAAGATTGTAAAAGGGACTCGAAATGGGTTTGGACTGAGAATCATGAACAGTGATTAGAGAATTAGAAGATGAAGAAAAGAAAGCTGATTTTTTTGTTAAAGAGAATGATTCTGTGGCAGCGTAGATTGAAGATCGATGAATCATGTTAATGGGTAACTATGGAAATAGGACAGAGAAAGAACAACATACCAGGTTGCTGGGAACTGTATAGAGTGTGAAATCAAACACATCTATTCTTCATCTAATTTTAATGGGAGATGATGCTTGATGTTGGTGTCAAATTTGACACCAAATCTCAAATTAAATTAAATTTTTTTTCAATTTCATTGGTTATAATTTATTAAAATTTAATAAATATAACCCGATAAATTATAACCGAAATTAATGATTGAGATTTGATGTCAAACTTTTTTAATTTGACACAAACGTCAAAAGATTCTACCCCATTTTTAATTATCAAAAAAATATTATCTTATTTTTACCTCATTTTTTCATTGGAAGAGGTTATACTTACTACATCTTTTTCTTACTCTCTTTATTACTATCAAATCTTAATCGTTGATTTTAGCTAATCTAACGATTATAATTTATTAGAAATTATTAATTAATTAATAAATATGACCCAATAAATTACAACTGTTAGATTGACGAAAATCAAAAGTTAAAATTTAGTTGTAAGAGGTAGTAAGAAAAAAAGGTACTAACTATAACTTCTCCTTTTTTATAATATATGAAAAAAAATTAATTTTCATCAATTTTTATAAATTATTAAAAATAAAATAAGAATAAGATAATACTTTTATAATTACTAATAAAGATATATCAATAATGAAAAAAAAAAAACTAAACCAAAGACAGTTATGCACATACTTTCTTGAAAGTATAGTTACGTCCCTCTCAAAAACAACAAGATAATATTAAGTTTAAAAAAAAAAATTGCTATAGTTCTCTTTGAAGGTTATAATATTGTGATATTAATGCTTTAAAGATTTTTTGTCATCAAATTAGTATAACAGTAAACATTAACACATTCGTCCGTATAAAGAATTTTGTTATAACGAGACAAATAACGTATTTGATAACTCCATTATTTCTTTGCAAGATTAATTTAATGGCAAAAAATTGTAGGATGACATACTAATATTTAAAAGATCAACTTAAAAATCTAATCCAAAAACATTACTTTACTAGTTTGTATGAAAATTTATTTCCTAAAAATAAAAGCATACAATCCTGAAATTATATAATCATAAATTCTATTATGTACCTCATTATAATTAAATCTTCATGTATTCACTCAAGTTTAAAGTCATAAGTTCAAAAAAATAAAAGAGAAAACAAATGTAAGTATCTACTAACACTTGGCATTTTAATGGAAGCATCCACTCAACTTAGAAATCAAGATTTTGTAACCCAATATACTGTTTTTTTCTTTCTTTCTTTCTCCTTCGTAACCTAATTGAAATGCATTACATATCTCTGCAAGCAATGGTAAAGGTGGCACTACTGTACAACATGCTTGTATAAGAAGAAAAGAAAAGGGCACAACATGATTCTGCTTCTGCTGAATTTTACAGCATTTGGACAAGCAAATTTATGTATAGCTGCATGCTTTAGCTGAGATTTCCCACACTGTTGGCTTCTGCTGAACACTTTTTTTGGAATAACTTAACAGGAGTGGCAGGAATAACACACAGAATTGTCCACATTCCATGAAGAGCAAAACATAATTCCCAAGAACATGGGCACTTATATGTGGCATGGTGATGGTGTTCCTTTGAGCAAATGATTTATGAGAGCATACTTCAGAATTAAGAAGCATCATAATACTGTATCTTCAAGAATATGGTTTCTTGCATCTCAAGCAATAACCATGCTGGCGAGCCTAAGCTGCTTATCTAATGGCAAGTAGCCTTTTAGCAATACACATGTATGATGCATCACTTGCAGTAGAAAAGCAGCCATATTATTCTCACTTTCATCAATGGGTTGTGAGCCAGGAATATAGGAACCATCTGCTATCTGCATAGCCCAGTTATATATACGTTCAGTTGATGAAAAGAGATGGGAAACAACAGTTTCTGCAACAACATTCCAGCTTCGGTCTGCTAGAAGAGACACAAGGGTGACTGGTAGATCATTCAGTACCATTTGTTGGTCCACAATCATTAAGGGCATATATTTGCAGCAGGTAGCAGACAGCAGACCAAGAAACCGCAGTGTCTGCAGAATAATGAAGATGTATTAAAGAGAGTAAGCTTTATTTGAATAAATGTAAAGGGACCAAGAAACCAAGATAATTTTGTTTTCCATCAAAATGTCTTAAAGTATTATATACTTTTAAAATAAATGAAAATATCCACCATTTGATCACAAACTAATTCTTGCTGAAATTTTTTGAAATTTGTCATGCAAGATTTGGATAATAATTACTACCCGTGTAATAAAGTTGTAATATAGGTATCAATTTTGAGTTCCTACCATGGAAGGAAAACTGGAAACACAGCTAATTTCGAGAGCATCAATAAGCCACTGTCTTTTGACACTTCCCTCTGCATGGTGCAAAGCCGCAACTACTTCAAAGAATACATCCCAGAGTCCTGCAAAAACTAAATATTTAATATTGATATTTGATATGTGAAGCACTTCTAGCTTAATACCCTTCTAAGTTCCAAACAACTCTCAAGTGACTGAAAAAATAGCAACTCTGATTCAAGTAAGAACCATTAATTGTTTCAGCCCAAATTGATCCGAGTTCCTGTTCCCGAAAAACCAGTAACATTGAGTAGTAGAGAAGAAAACTAACCTGGTGATTTGGAATTCAATATGTAGGATTTCATTTTTCCAAGTTCAATCAGTGGAAGAGAACCAATCTTCACTAGCTTGATCTTAGCAAGAACCTTTTTTTGGACTTCAATAGATTTGTCAGCACTTTGAACAAATTCCTCATGTGAAACCTGTGGTTGCAAATGACTGCTTAACTCAGAGGGTTTAAACAAACATTTTGTATCTAATAAGCTTGACCTCAATCAATTTGAATCAATGCCAAGGAGGAATAACTTAAAGTAAACAACAAAACATCAACACAATAAATGTACTAAACAACAGAAATGATAGCACATAGTAAAATATTATTATTGGAGTAAGAGAACTCAAAATAATTTTCTTGAGGGGAAAAGCAGATGAAGAGATACAGTAAAAGGTATGCATACCTTTAGGAAATCCAATAACCAACTCCGTGGAGCCTTCCCTAAGCATCTTACAGCTTCATACCACTCCTCTACAGAACCTACGTCCCCTGACACTTCACTGCTAGAAGATTGCACAACTGGCAATAACATAAATAGAACCTCCATGCATCTCTCTACATGGGATATGTGACCAGAAGTGTCCACAGAAACTTCATCTAGGCACTCGTAGAGACCCTTCCAGCATGAAATACATAACAAGTTTTTCTGGTAGGTGCCAGACTCTTTGTATGAAGTGAATGAAGACAAGTGATTACTCACTTCACCGAATAGTTTCTCCAACCTGGTGCTTGAATATACTTTTACGAGGTCTGCTAGATGAATTAGCAGACATGACTGTAGATTTGTTTCAAGTGTCCTGAACCTCGAAAAGTCAGATAGCTCATCAAGAAAAGTTAACAGTGAATCAAATTGATTTGCATGAGCTATTGCAAACATTATGCATTCCTCCCTCAGAGTTCCTTTCTTAAAAGAAGAATCTGCTGGCAACAACTCAGCAACCTTGACCTCAAATCTCATACAACGCCTAATAATTGCCCCCCAATCCAAGCTTGGCAACCTGGGAGCTCTAGAAAGGCACCTTAATATAGCAACAACTGTGCCAACATGAATCATAGTGCCTGGCTGAAATTGGACAAGACAAAAAATGAGAACAATGAGAAAAGAATAACAAAGAACATATAACGTAACCAATGTAATAGACTTGTTAAGTATAGAATGTATATTAAAAGTCTATCATATACAATTGTAACTGTTTAAATCCAGGTAGCATGGCTATAATAATACTAAAACGATTGACATCCAATTATGTTAGCATGATTATTATTACTTTTCAAGAAGGATGAAAAATAAATTCAATCAAATTTAAACATATTATTTATTAATGATGTTAGAGAAGTATGATATAAAACCGTTTATGTAGCCTTCACCTAACAGCTTAAACTTTTGGGTTGAATTAGTTTTTTACATGGTATCAAAGCTTCTATGACCAAGTGATAACGAGTCTGATCCTCACCGCCCCTATTCTACTAATAAATAATTAAATATTGTGGATTATTTTAGCACGAGTAGGTGGACTTGTACTTTGTCTACCCTTCAAGTTCAATGGACTCTCGTGTGAGGGAACATGTTAGAGAAGCATGATATAAAACCATTAATGTAGATTTCACCTAACAGCTTAAACTTTTGGGTTGAACTGATTCTTTACAAATGATATCAACTATTGATTTGATGTGTCAAATCATTTTTAACAGAAACTACTGAATCCAACAACTAGCTTCGAGTGAATAATTAACAGAGTTACATATATTTATGACCAAGTTTCCATAATTTGTCAAATGAATTATAGAATTTAAGCTATTTGGGATAAAGGTGTTGTTGATGTGTAGTTAGTTTGTTTTCCAACTGCATACATGAAACAAAAACTCTAGATAATTCAAAGATAAAATGTAAATCAGCTTCAAACACACAGGCCTCCTGTCAAGAAAAGGAAGGTGACTACACAGAAAGAAAAATGTTACTGAAGGAGAGAGAAACAGGCAGCTAATTGGAAATGAAAGACGAATATGGAAATATTTAGAAATACATATACATAGTTCACTCAAGGATTAAGAACTTATTAAAAACAATTTACACAATACCAGTAAGAGATCTACCTCAGTGTATTTGAAATCCGTAAGCCACAAGCTAAGTTTCAAAACCACATTGTCATCAGAAAAACTTTGAGAAACAGATTTTGAATTAGTTTCAGCCACATTCCTATCACCATCCATCACCAAAAGTTCCTTGGACCATAAATGATGTCGAAGGAAGCTGAGTACCCAGGAAGCAAACTGTTGTAGATGATGATTATCAGAATTCTGTGCCACAAGAAACATTTCTTGCACCAATGATGTCAAGTATGGTTCCAAGACAGAACTTGACAGGAGAGGACCCATGACAGAATAAGACTCCTGTTGTTTATATAGTAAGATATTTAAATAGGAAGCATGAATAAAAAAATAACAAATATATGATGAAAGATAGCTGGTAACATTTTTAACAAAAGGTAAATTACCTTCTTCTGATAACCAGATTCCCTAGTATAATTTGGAAAATTCATATAAAGCAAAATCCCTGCACCTGTTCCCATGGCATTAACAACTCCTAGCATACCACCAAGATGGACAAGAAAAGGGAAAGGATTGGAGTAACATTTCCTGAATAGTTCCAGCAAACATTTAACACGTTCAACCTCAATAGAGTGAATGCCTTCATTCAGTATACAAGAAAGTACAGTCCCTGCTCCAACACATGATGCCATCAGCAAACTATGGTGCAAAATGCCAGATTTTTTCACAGAGATTAACTCAGAAATCAGCTCTTTAAAGCCAACCACAATTTGGTCCAACTCAATATCACTTATCAATTCCATTCTCTGGCAAAAAGCCACTATTGTGGGAAGTGCAATACAGGATCCTAGTGCTAAAACAATCTCAGATTCTTCCCCTTGGAAACTACTGCTTTGAACAAGTGAGTTCACATATGGAAGCCATGATATTACCAAGTTTTTTATCTTTATAACAGCCTCTAACTCTCCAGCTCTGTATATTGCACTTATGGAGGTAGCCAAACCAAGAACAAGTCCTGCAACACCCCAGACATCTTCTTCCAAGTCTTCACTATTCTCAGATGATGGTTCAAATACTTTAGCATTCACATCATGTGAACCAGGTGGAAAGCATGAACATAGACTGTCCAAAACATCAGAAGAACTTTGAGTTCTCTCATGTATCACTGTAGCTAAGGCCCTAACAATTCTTCCTAGTAATTCAGATTCTGGAACCTTTTCTGTTTCCATTTTGACAATAGAGTCATCAGCAACTTCAACCCTGGTAAGAAGATCTTGGCACGAAAAACCCAAACCAACACCACATGCTCCTTTTACAAGGGAACTTTTGCTAACAAAAAGAACCTGGATGTTCATAATATCTGTTAGAGAATAGTATAAACCATTAAAAAACCCTCACCCACCAGCTTAAGCTTTTGGGTTGAATTCGTTCTTTACATGGTATCAGAGCCTCAGTGTCACGGTTCGATCCTCAACGCCCCCCGTTTTTTTTGTGGAATTTCTTAGCACAGGTAGGCTGGGCCTGATGCATCATCCACCTTTCAAGCCCAATGGACTCTCTTGTAAAGGGGCGTGTTAGAAAATAGCATAAACCATTAAAAAATCCTCACACTTAAGCTTTTGGGTTGAATTGGTTCTTTACAATATCAATGAAATAGAATGCCAGAAAATCTTGTAAATAAGTTCCTCTCAAAAGTGAACCAATGGAAAAAAATAAATAAATAAAATGAATAGACCCATTCCCTCCCTCTCTCTCTCACTCTCTTTTTTTTGTGTGTGTGTGTGTGTGTGTGTGTAAAATATATATAATAGCCTTCTTCAGTTTTCTTCTCAATTATCCTACTACAAAGGTGAATAGGAACCCAAGTATGCTACAACATTAATAAAATCTCATAAGGTATGAATATCTCTCTCCAAAAAGTTTTGATTTGACTCATGAAAGCAAAGGAAAGGGGAGAAGGAGGAGTTGAAAACTGTTTCAGAAACACTTGCATTTCATTTAAACACTGTTAAGAGAAATAATAACATAAACAATACTATACTTTCTTTCATCTTTGAAATTTGTTCTTCAATCTTGTTTTCTAAAACAGGTATTTTATATAAAAAAATAAAAAAATAAAAACCACTCCCCGTTAAACCCGATTAGCGAGTGTGGGGTGGAGGAAATCCTTGTACACAGCCTTACCCTTGCATAATTGCAAAGAGGCTATTTCCTGGATTCAAACCCATGACTTTTCAGTCATGAATGAACAATTTTACCACTGTTCCGGTTCACCCCCTTAAAACAGGTATTTTATAAAATAGAAAAAATAGAATAGAAAGAAGATAACCTAGATCTATTAAAAAAAACAAGAGACAACAAAAATATGCAAAAAAGAAGAGAACAAGAATACCTCAAGAAGTCCTGTGATGTTATGATATCTTTGTTTATGATCAGTTACATGAAGGCAACTTGAGATTAATCCAAGAGAAATTGCAGCAGACCATTGCCGGTGTTCATGTTCATGTTGGAGCAACCACTCCAAAAGAAACTTCGAAGCAGCAGATTTAACAGTGTGAGCAGATGGAGGCAAAACCTGAGAAAAGAAAGGCCAGAGATTGTAACAGTTAAATGCTATTATGCTAATTACACAAAATACATCACCTTAAGTCAAATCATAGATATCGGTTACTGCAACAGATATCAGATTCTCAGACTGAATTAGTTCCAAGATCATTCATATTGCATAAGTGTTCATAAAACATGTAGTTAATACCCATAGAATTACATGTTCCAAAATCCCAACAACGGCTTATATATTGAGATGCCAATAAGCAGCACGGATGATAAGTAGTCAGAATCTGTAAAGATAAAAAATGGGTGCACAACCATGTAAAAGCTTCTCACCACACAGAGTGCACCAATGGCCAGTGCAATATTTTCAGCAGCTCTAGGTATAGCCTCATCTGTTATTGCTATCATACTCTGCACAAAAAGCATGTAACGAAACTTACATCAGATATGACATATACTTGAGCAGTTCTAGCAGACAACTGGTTAATGAAAAAAGAGAGGATATTTTGTAATAACAAAACACCAAACTGGACCTTTAAAATATCACTAGCAGCTTTAGAAGTTTTATCTAGGACACTCAATTGTGCCTTAGCATCATAGGACAGCATGCAAGCCTTCATCCAACGTCGCATGAAGCCTTTCCATGATTGCAGTGCCATAAGTGCAAGCATGATATTTCTTGAGAGCTGAAGAGAAGCAGCTATTTCCACTAGAGAATTCTCATACCCAGCATGGACGTCCCTTAGCCTCTGAATACTTATAATATCAGATTAAAAGTTCAGTCAAATCTACAGAGAATATGTCTAATTAATCTATTGATATCTTACTTTTGATGAATGTTCATTCACGTCTTTAGGAGTGAAAGAAAAACATAATAAAGCTGCACCAGGCAATTCTCTAGCCTCACTTATCTTCCCTAAAAATAGAATGCTTACATATCAAGACATATTCAAATTAAAAATAATAAAAACACATTAAACCAGACAGAGTTGGATAGAAATAATTAGTGACAGAATTTCCACCATTCCATTGAAGGAACCATTCACTTTTTTCTAAATCATATAAAGGTAGGTAACCATGTCCTGACAACATAACTACAACGGACAGCTAATACCACCATACCTGAAGAGAATATAGCCTGTGGAAATACATCCATCAACTTTTCAATCTTACTTCCTGTAACTCTTTTCTCCTTCACTGCTCTTCGACGATTTCTAAATCAAATGGACAGAAAATTATCATCATATTATCACATTCAACAGATCAGTAAATTGGTTGTAGGATGTAACGATTACATGTGCTCATATGTTATTATCTTGACTTGAAAATCCTCCATAACCTTGAGTACGTTGAGATTTGTCTCAGAAAAAAACAGCTCCAAATTCATTTTCTTAAATTCTGGAATACTTTTTTCAAGCTGCAACACCTGGGAAGTGGTAACATAACAATATTAATGAAAAAAAGTGAAAACGACTTAATTTAAAATAAAAAATAAAAGTCCACTCATGTAGAGCAAAGCTTATATCGATGGATATACTTCATATTGGGTAAGTGCCTCCAGGGCTGAAATTCTTGCTTTTTCCCATTGTATACCCTGGCCAGAGGTAACTACATCCCACACAATTTGCACCACACCAGTTGATGCTTCTGGATATGCTTCTGCATCCATCGTACCCCACCTTAGCAGAAGGCAAATGCTGCCAGAAGACAGGAAGTATCTTTTATTGAGACAAGAGGATGAAAATTTAACATTTGGAAATCATATTTAGTAATCAAAATACTATACATATTAACTAAAAAGAAGATATATCTAAAGCAATATTTATAAAGCAATTCAAGATTTTCAACCAAAGTTTCCAATGCCACTCAATGAGAGTTGGGATGCAAAGGCCCAGGGGTTTAAAATATTCAGTTTAGGCTAGAAGTTGTTTTACCACCATCACTGTTATAGTCAGTCAACAACATACAAGCGTCTGCTTAGAGCCTTAGAGATGCTTACCTATGTGCAAGAATAGGATCCTCTTGATAACCTTGCACATGCTTTGCAATGACATCCCATGCAGTGTAAAAATCTAAGCCAATGATGCATCATATCCCATCAGAATGCTTTAAACACAATCTAATATCAAACTATTTTTCATGAATAACTTCCTATGCCTTAGTACAGTATTATTCCATTAAATATAATTAAAAAAAAAAAAAACCATTACCAATCACATCTGCTTCACAAAGGTGGGCAAGGCTTTGCAAGCCAAGAGCTTTAATTATTGGATCTTGGCTCTCAATGCAAGACTGTTTATTCCAACACAACCATAATTTATCATAAAAGCATGCACAGGAAAAAGATAATTAAGGAAAAAGTGTACGGGCAGGGCATACCGAAACAGACAAGATAAGGTCAACACCCCTATCAGGGCTTTTATGGCAAACATCTCGAATGGAAGCAGCCATGCTGATGCAGATAGCTCTCTCTGACATGAAATCAGTGAACCCTTTAGGAAGCAAGACACCCTAGATATGGAGAAAATGTAAAATAGATTGGGGAAATTTTGAAATAATAAGACTTCGAAGAAACAGCAAGGGGCTGTATAAAAAAAAAAAAAGCAAATTGGCATCTCAACATCAAAAGTCTTTGAAATATGCTGTACAGACAACTCTCAGAAAGATAAAATGGGACAGACAATATGCACAGTTGTAAGACTGCATATGGATATGTGCAAAACCTTTCGATGTGACCCAGCACAGATCCTCAAGAAAATATAATGGTGCAGACTGCAGATAAAGTACGAGTTTGAATGTGTAAGAGTTGTTTATATAGCATCAAAGTCTTGTGGCTATAAGGCTGAGCTCAGGTGAGGTGCTAAGAAGCTGGCATCCCCTCCCATAAAAGAGAGGAAAATATGCTACATCAACTTTGGCCTAAAACTAAAAGCAACTATTATTCTTGCTTCTCCTAAATTACCTTCTACATATAAAACAAAGTTTATATTAGAGAACAGCACATAAATTTAAGAAAAAATATATATAGGTTCCAGCAACTGGTTTTGTGAATCAAAACAGAGTTCAGACTAGCCACAAATAGGATTTCTCAGGAGTCATCTCAGATTCTCTATTATCAGATAAGTAGAAAAACCTAGAAAATAAGTTTTTAACTTTATACCTACAGATAGTTTATGTCCCCCATGCATCCTTCATTCATTTCTTGACATGGTACAACAGATCCTGCTCCTAAGAACTAAAGGATAACATATACATTAAACAAACCACACCATGACTCTATTAGCAGTTTAAGACACCATCTTAACAAATAATAAAATGTTTGAGAATGGAATATTGGTACTACTTCAATCTGTTCAACCTTCCTTAAAGAGATTTTTTTTATAAACAATTACAATTTTGATTCATTATCTTAACCATTCCATTTCTTTAATCAATTACCATTCAAATCTTCTCATCTTCTGCATTAAGTAATAATTTATCTTCACCTAAAAGAATATGTGTGGCAGTGGATGGTATAGGAAAGTGTGGAATGAAAAGCTCACTTGTAAACTTCCAAAGGCCCGATCGTTGATCTCCCAGGTTCGACAAAGCAATCGAATTGCTGTAGCATATAACGAGCTGCATGTGGGGCAGAAAAGAACATTTAAAGCTGAATTTCATTGATATTTAATATTTTGATGAATACATCAGCACCAAATTTTAACTTCAGGGCCAGAATGACATTTGAGGACCATAATGGATTTTCTATCATAAAAACTAACATCCTCCTAATGGTGCAGGATACCATAAGGCCGGAGTAATACAATAATAATAAAATTAAAAATTAAAAAGAAGCAAACAAAACACACAATCTAGCAGACTACCTACACTTTTGCATCTTTGTTAAGCATTGGCAAGATAGTTTGAACAACAAGTGGAATCATTGCTGAGTGTGAAGCAAGTGATGGCAGCATTTCAAAAATCTTTAGCTGCAACAACAGTTTAAAAATAAGGGAGAGAAAAAAATCATACTTACAAATGATGGAGACAAAACATAGTTTATGCAATAAGCGCCAGTACGAAAGGGAGAAGTTACCAACATATCATGGTTAATGACATCGTTTCTTGTGAGTATATTACTGTAAAACATAATTGTTAGCAACAAAGGAACTCCCAGTTTGGGATCCATAATGGCAATGGAAGACAAAGAATCAACAGCAGCAGGCCCCATTGATGGATGTATGAATAAAACACCAAGAACAGCACTGAGTAACAAGGGCATCTCTGCAAGGGCAGTGATAGAGATAACATAAATCTCTTGCATGCTTTAACAAAACTCTGCTAAATAACTCCACTTCCAAAAGCTAAAGGGTTATACCAGTCAAAAATACTTCCTCAAAATGCGAGAGAGGCAATAAAGATTTTCGTCGGTCAACAATTGACAAACAAAATCCTCTTACATGAGAAACCCAAGATATTGGTCTATCATGCATTATTTCGCTTTCATTCATGCCCTTTAAAGCCAAATTCAGGAGGGAAATTCTGGAAGAAGATTCTCCATCCTGAAACAACAGAAGCATAGAATTTCTAAAATTTATTATTTTCTGGAAGAAAACTAGAAATAGCTATAATCCTCATTATTTTACTGCCCTGTTTCTAGTCACATAACTTGTGAGCTCGCATATATTCATTCAGGACAACAGCAATTTTAATGCTTCCATCTAAAAATAAAAATTATTTGTGTAGATAATAAATATAACATTTTAAACACAAAAACTCTGATATGCCAGACAAAAAACCTGATACCACAGATGTCGCAAAAGTCTCAAAACTATAATTCCTGGTGTGCTAAGATAAGGAACTCCCCCCTCAATGATTGGTTTATCTTTTGGTGCCACAATCATCTTGACAAGGAGCTTCTCCAAGAGGAGAAGCAAATCAGTAGCTAGTCCTTTCACAGATTTGGAAGGAGATGACATGAGGCCAACAAGAAGAAGTAGAAACAAAATCTCTTCAAATGGAGAGGATTTAGTTGTGCTGATAGCATCATCTGCGTTGGCAATTATTACAACAAATAATTTTTAAAAAAAATGATGATATTAAGGGGAGTATCAAATGAGCATAAGTACAGGGTTCTTTTATGCATTTGAGCTAGAGCAAATTACATCAGGAAAAAATGTTGCAATGCCAAGAACTATATAAGGTTATTCAGGATCGTGGAAGATGGTATGGATAAGGCACACACAGCCTAATTGCCAAATATTTAACAAACCAACCATCTAAAATCCTGAACTCAGTTCATCACAATATGATGAAGATTGAGTAGGCGAAACACTGAAAAATTCATAAACTTTTTCTATGAAATATGAATGCCATTGGCATAGATTGACTTAGAACTCAAAAGGAAGATTTGGAAAACAAATGTCAACATTTTTAATAGAAGAATATCATACTTATGGTCACATTTATTCAACTTGAATGTATGCATAAACCCCCAAAATCAGGACGGCGATAGAAAACTTACCATTATCATACTTCCACTTAAGGATTAAGAGAAGGAGCTTCAATATAGAAATTTGTTCATGTTCAAGTTCTGATTGAACAAGGATTGTGAATAATGATACCATAGTGGATGACAAACCAGGCACCCATCGCAACCCAAGATCTTTCTGCACACACAACAACCGCCTTGAGAGTTCAAACATGGGTTCATGACCACCAGGGTGCCACTGAAGGGATGTCGACAGAGAAAAAACTGTTTCCAGAAATTCAATAGCACAAAGTTGAGCCTCAGTAATCAGCTGCTAAGAGGGATCAAGAACAACATGAGAGCGAGGCACAAATTACATTAATCAAAGGAACAACATCATGAGTCATGACAGTAATAGATGCAAAAGTGAACAACAAATTACAAGGAACATACCGATTTCTTTCCAACCACCAAAGATCTCAGTACCACTATATATGCCTCCACCACATGTTCTACAACAATTACTAACTTCCTGTAGTCCTGAGAAGGTCCAAAAAGAAAGAAAACAACAATAAGGTAATTATTTCATTTCACCTTTCACTACACCAATAAAACTAATTTAACCCAACATATCCAATGCTTATTCTCAAAATTACGCTTACTTCAGAGGTCTCATGTGGAAGATACTTAAGGCATCCCATTAGCAGCTTAAAAACAGGCATGGACTCATTGGGAAACGAGCAACAGAAAGATGCCATAGCTGATACCATTTGCATCGCAAATGAAGAGGAATATCTTATGGTTGAGAAATTCAACAAGGGCCTCAAAAACTCACAAACTTCCACCATTCCCAGCCGCTTATTCTGCAACATAAACAGCAATACCTGCTGCAGGAGTTCATGTTGAACTTCCGACCGGCATGACAACACCTGCCAAACAAAAAAAGAAAAATAACACTCCTACTTCATCCAACACTCAACAGTTAACTTGCAGAACCAGACCAAGTTTAATGAATTTCTTTGTTGTTTTTGTTTGGCTTACTGTTAGAGAATGCACTGAGTGCATAGCTCAACCAGAACTAGGATTAGTTGAATTTAGACTAAGCTTAGGGTCTATTTGATTGTATTCTGGTTTTTTTGTTCTTAAAACTGTTTTTAGAATAGTTATCAAAATAGGTGTTTTATTTTTTTCTGAAAGTTAAAAGTCAAAACACAAAACGAAAACAACTCAAACATGTTCTCTAAATTTGATTCTAGAAACAAAAAAAAGTTACAGCTTTTAAAACTTATTTTACAAAACAAGCCTTATCAAATGGGTTTTTTTGTTTTTTGTTTTGTTCTAAAAACCAAAAAACTATTTTTAAAAAACAGTATATAAACAGGGCCTTAGTCTATATCACAAACAGATTTGTAACTGTTGTAACAGCAGTCAGTGAGTTGCAACTGTCTGTAACAAATTCTGTTAAGAGTTAGTTGTGAACCTAGCTTAGATCCTATCCTATAAATACTCTTCTGTACGTACTAGTTACTCAGACTATTGAATCACACTTTCAGAATCACTTACACTCTCTCCAATCTTTGTCTTTGCAACTATGCAAAGTTTCTACACTTAGTGCCTGTTTGGTGTGATGTATAAGACTTGATAGTATAAGCTTATACGTTATGAGATTTTCAGTTGTTTGGTATGATCATCGTATAGTATAAAGCTTATACAGCAAAACCCCTTAATACATCAAAATGGTATATAACTTAATCAGGCCTAAGGGGATGAGATTAGGCCTTATAAGAGATTGATATATTAATATTGCTTACAAGTACAATTCTCAAGAACTAATATATCATTTCAATATTAATATATTAAAATAATTTTTTTTAATATATTAATTTTTAGAGTAAACACCTTTTTTGGTCCCTGGCAATATCTACGAAATCCTTTTTAGTCCCTGGCAATAAAAAAGGGCCAAATTGGTCCATAAAATTATGAAAAAAGGACCACATTAGTCCTTATGTCAACTCTTCCGACACTAACGTGGCCCTTTTTGCATACTGTTAGGGACCAATTTGGTCCCTTTTTACTGTCAGAGACTAAAAAGGATTTCGTAGATATTGTCAGGGACCAAAAAGAGTGTTTACTCTAATTTTTAAATATGGGAGGATATTATCTTATACAATACCATATGGATACTATTAAAATTTAATCAGATTTTATAATATAGATCTTGTGCTATAAGATCTTGTACTATAAGGCATAATCTCATACTATGCAGCAAATATGCCTTCCACAAACTTTCACTCCCTACCTCAAATAAAAAAATTTAATTAAAAAAAAAAAAGCATGCCCATTTTGGCATTTTGAATCAAGTTTTTATCTTTAGGCTTTTTTTAGCCTAAGATACCAATAAATATGAAAAAGAAATTTAAAAAATAAAAATAAAATTGAGCAATAATTGAAAAATTATAGTCATACTCTGGTGAAGCGTTAAAATTGCTGTGACTCACTGACCTTAACAAAAGGGTGAGTTTCGATTGAAGTGAAGCGCCAAGAGCCATTGTTCTTCTGGAAACCATAGCGAACGAGGAAGCCCAATCCCTTGACGAAAACGGGTACGAATTTCGGGTCGGATCCCTCGAGTGCTGATTGGAGCTCCATCAACCCGCGAGAAACGGCGATGACGGAGTCGGTGACGAGGCGGCATAGCTCCCTAACGGATTGGTCGACGACGTTAACGGAAGAGGAGTTGAGGCAGTGAGCAATGGCGTGTTTTCCGGGTTCGGATTCCGGGTCGAGATACTTGGGCGCTGATCGGAGCTTCGAGAAAATGGTTATAACGGCCAACTTTTGAAGGCCCGGTTGAGGGACTCGGGTCTTCTCCAGAAGAGAATCATAAGACTCCATCACACACAAATTGTTACCACACTCTGCAAATTCAAGTCGTGTGGAACACAGACTCAAATATTTTTGTTAGGTAAACACCTTTTTTAAACTCTGTCAATATCTACGAAGTTCTTTTTAGTCACTGACAATAATAAAAAATGATCAAATTAGTCTCTGAAATTACAAAAAAAGGTCATGTTAGTCTTTATGTCAACTCTCAAATATGTAGAGTGACCATTTTCTTGTACTTTCAGTATTTAGTCCTTTTGTATTGCCAGAGACTGAAAAGGACTTCGTAGATATTGTCAGGGATTAAAAAGTGTGTTTACTCTTTTTTTTATTTTTTTTTATTTACTGTTACGTTAATTTTTATTTTTTTTTATATTATTATTTGATAAAAAAATCTGAAATATGTAACAAAAAATAATTACATCAATGATGAATCGTTGATAGATTATTTTTTAGATATCCAATTATATGAGAAATATACTAAAAATATGTTATTTTTAAGGAAAAAATGTACAAGTTATTTGTATTTATTTCCAAAACAACATTGTATTAAGTTTATTGCAAATAATTTATTTATAGTAACCGAAGAAAAAACGAACTCTATTTTTAATATTATTTGTTTATTACCCAGGTGCGTTTTGATGTGAAATTACCATGTTTTTATGATTGGGTCAAGACTTAAAAAGCATGATTTATTGTGAGAAAATTGGACAAAAAATGAGCAAAAAAAACCTTTTTTATAACTTGTTTTAACTTGGGGCTGAATTGATGTTAGTTCGTATAGGAACTAAGTAAGTGGAGTGAAAATATGTGTTTCATCCTCTCAATATCATCTGAGATTTAAAGCATTAATTCTGAAATTCACGAGAATCAAATTAATTATGAAGTGATAAATGAATTGAAAAACCTCAAAAAAAAAAAAAAATTGTGTGGTAATATTTTTGGACAATTTATGTGATTGTTTTATCATGCGTAGAAAGCCCAAGTTTGGGAAAAGTGAAAACATGAAGAAATGGGTTTCTAAAAGCAACTAACGGCCCAAGCTAAGACACTTCAACTCTTCAAGGGATAACTTTGGAGCATAAAAAGATATGAGCTAATACTGAGGTTATAATAAGAGAAAATTAGGATTAACCAATTCAAACTTGTGAAAATACGGATTCCACTCACCTCTTGAATCAGTAAAAAAAATTGAAGAATAAGAGAAGAGACACTCTCCTTCAACAACACACACACACACACACACACACACAAATTCTTTTTTTCTTTTTCATTTTAGTCATATTCCATGCATTAGTTTTTTTTTTTTTTTTTTTTTTTTTTTTGTGGAGGCTTATTCCATACCATACATTAGTTGAGCTGGGAATGTAAAACCTATTTCCTTATATTTGACATTTTTGTTTCCTTATATTTCTCTGTTTTCATTTTCACTTGTGTTAATTTAACTGATCTTAGGAATTTGAACTCTACAACGCATGCAAAGGAAATAGCGACTTGTTACTTGTTAGGAGGAACATCTATGGACCCACGCGTCTTACATACGATCTGTAACGTAGTACGGTATTAGGGTTGCGTTTTCCCCATATTATTATGACCATCCCTGCATCTGCATGTATATCTAATAAATTTAATATAAAATAAAATAAAATAAAAACCGTACCCCAACACTAATGTAAACTTACGTACCATGAAATTCTAACCTGAGGAATTTTTGTTGAAGTTGCAGTCTCAGATAAGATTTGAAATTTAATTAATCAGCTGCATGCGCTGACCTAGCTGTTCATTAGTGAGCTAGAAAACTGAATTAATTGATATTATTTAATATTTTTCTACGGGTATTATTAGGTACGGATTGAGGAATAAAAAAAAATGATAAATACTAAATAAATAAACATTTGATATTTAATTTTTTAAAAAAAATTACTTTTCATTTAATAATTTTTATTTAATGCTTTTTTTTGTTTATTATATCTCTTCTACTCGTGTTTACAAGTAGAACGTGTTTACAAGTAGAACCGCCAGAGCTAAACAACAAAGGCTTATCAACACTACGTACATTCAAAAAATTATACGATCGAAAGGTAGGTCAACATTTATATTGGTAGATAGGAAGTTTCGATCGAGATATGATGTAATAGGTACAATAAGAACCTGCAGATATATGGAGCATGCATACATATAATATAATATATACTTGACCAGTGTTACAGTTTTTAATATTCCAATGATCTCGTTTCTTTTGTCTTGATTTTAATTCGAGTTTAGCTAAAATAAATTAATGTTCTTGGTCAAGATTTTGGTTCTTGAATTCTTATTTTATTTTATTTTTATTTTTTTGAAAACGAGGTGAAAGCCATATGAGGCTGTGGCCCACGGTCCAATGGCCCAATATATTAGTTTGTTAGTTTGTTACATCTATTAGTTTGTTAGTAATTCAGTTTAACTGTTATTCTATTTACAGTCACTTAGTGGTGCCTAGCTCAACATATAAAGCTAAGCACTCTCTTGTATCTGTTAGACAATTCTTTCATTCTTTACTTTGTGCTTACAATCAAGAACTTCGTTTCTCTCTTCTTCATTTCCTTTCCTCTCCTTCTTCTTCTGTTTCTGATATCTTTCACGAGGGAAGTATATAAATTTTAAGGTTACATAATCTCGGGCTGGAAACGCCCATCATATCTGTAAATAAGAGATTTCAACACTTTGACATAGCGTCTATATATATATAGTGATACTTGGATTCATTGAAGAGTACTACTTAGGCACAAAAAAGTACATTAAGTTATAAAAGTAACAACAGCAAAGTGCTTTAATTTAATAAGCAAATAATAAAGTCTCCATAACCCTAGTTTAGACATGTTCATTAAAGAATTGAATTCCGATTGGATGATTAATTACTATGCATGCCGATAATAATTTTATATATGTAGGATAGGGTTTTTTTATATGCCATGTGTGTACTCCGAATTATGAATTATATTTATGTTGAGGATATTGATTTATATAATATAAGTTTTAATGATAGGTTGAGTTTGTAATTAATTAAATAGTTATTATTTGGTTTAATTATTTAGATATTGTGCATGCTTTGAAGATCATGGCCTCTTCATCAAGCTCCAAAACTCCTGAATGAAGTCCAGCCACATCAAAGGGAGGATACAATGAACTCTATGGCTTATGAAGCTGAAGCAAGGATTAAAAAGATCCTGTTTATGGTTGTGTTGGGATTATTCCAGTGCTCGAAAAGAAAATCATTAAGCTCCAAATAATGGAACTTGATGCCATAAAAGCTGAATTCATCCGCTATACTACAAGCAATGGAATGCCAACTCAAGCTGTGAGAAGGACTAATTAATGAAGGAACTTCCTCTCTTGGTTATCCTTCTATTTAATTAGAAAAGTAATGGTCCTTGTGGGGAAGGCTAGCTACCATAGAGTTGATAACATTGTGTGTATGCAACTCTAGTAATAAATTTCAAGTTAGCCATTTTGGGTGTTTTATCTTAATGTATTGAAGGAAGGAGATATATATATATATATATATATATATATATATATATATATATATATACATGTGTATATATATGGTTCCTCATGGTTTTTATGAATAAAATATGGTGTGTTATTGTGAGATGGCCCTCTGCTTATATAACACAAAATTTATAATTCTTATTATTAAAATTTATTTGGAATAGTGACATCTATTTTATTTATAGACAGGAATGATAACAATTGTTATTTAAAATAGTAAACCTTCAATTAATTCAAATCTAACATTTAAAAATAAATTATCCATTATATATTTACTTACAACAACTAAAACAGAAAAAAATATCCAACAAAGCTCCCAAATTTAAATACCTATAACAAAATATCCAAGAAAATTTTTAAAATCAAAATACATATAAATTAATTCATTACAAGATTACAAGCATTTCAAAATACTTAAATTAAAAAAAAACTAAATATCTAAAAATGATAGCGAAAGAACAACAAATTCTTCAATTTTGATCCTGCAATAAACAAAAGAAATAAACCCATTAGTATTAATAAAATGAAATAATTAGTACTTTATTAAAAAATATAACCTGGTAATTAGCCTAATGAGTCATCACTCTTGATCTTGATATCTATGTTGTTAAAACATTGAAAAGAAAAAAATACTAAACTAAACTAAATTTAAGGCTTAATAACTAATACATAATTTTCATTTAATAATTATTATTTATAATTCCTTAGGTAAATATCTTTAAAAAAAAGTAAATGCATTATTTATCAATATATTAACCACACTGTAGCTAAGGTATTAAATACGTTACATAAAGCACTACAAGAAAAAAGTTTATTTGTGACAAAAAATTTCGTCACAAATTTTGTCACAAATAAAAATTTTCGACACAAATAATCAAATTTCATCACTAATAAATTTGCGACTCGGGAATTTGTGACGAAATTTCATATGTAGTGACGAAATTTGCGACACTAATAAGATTTTTTCTTGTAGTGAAGGCACGCGTTAACAAACTCTAAATAATTTTTTACCCAATGCCAATTAGCATTTGCCTTTAGTTATCAGCGATGAACCATAAGATATTGCTTCCTCCAAATCTTTGTCGTAGTCAACAATGAACTCATCTTGAGAATTGTGTGAACTTGTAAATTTTATCTAATTGAGTTTTTCTACGAAATGTCTGTGTTTGGGAGCATGTATGGAGCAGAAAGTTATAAGTAAAGTTGAAGTGGTTGGATTAGGCGACGATAAATCACTAGAAATATTCATATTTTCAACGGAATTTTTTTGTTATTATTTTTGACCGAATATTTTCGGTTGATAAATTTTGTCAGTTTTTTTTAGTAGTGAATTGGAAATAAACCTATGCAGGATTCATGAATACCTGGGGTTTTGAGTTGTGAACAATTAACCCCAAATATTCCTAATCCATAATGCAAGACCTAACAAAAGAAACAAAATAGGTGTTTAATTAACAATGAAATGGAGACAATATTTCTCAGAAATATATCGCACTATTTCACAAAAACAAAAATAACGAGTTTAATTAGACCAACAAGATTCTCTTTAGATCACTGTCGTAAAATCTGGCCCGATCCGGCCTGGTCGACCCGGAACTCGGTGACCCGGTCATTGAACCGGTCCGGGTCAAGCATTGGACCAGTCATGCATCGACCCGGTCAAACCCGATCAAAACCCGGTGACCCGTTGACCCGGTCGGGTCATTCATTAAAAAAAAAAAACCAAAAAATCAAAATTGTTTCATCTTGTGAGAAAAAAATGTAGAGCTCATTGTAATTTTTTTTTATAATTTTATTTGTTAATATATTCTTCTACAATTATCTCAAATTTCAGTTTTCAATACTGAAACAATTTGCGGAATAATAAATTAAGAGAATGTAACATATGTTATTTTAATGTAGTTGAATTTAAAAAATATGTGTTCAATGTCATTGAGAGGTATGTTTATGGGGATTCTGAGTAACAATTTAAATTGACATAGTAATAACGTGCATTTTTATTTAGTTATACTTCATGTTTTTTGAGCTTATTTAGAGGAACCTTATTTAATTCATTTTAGATATAAAAATATAATTGAATTTATATGTTCATATTTATATATTTTTTTATATATCTATATGTATCCGGGTCAATCGGTTCGACTAGTGATCCATCAGTCCGATCAGTGACCCAGTACCCCGACCGGGTCGATGCCCGGGTCGGATTTAATAACACTGGTTTAGATAACATCTCGGACTTTAATTAAGGCGGGGGAATATGGAGGACTAAGATACTTGGGGCCATTTTATATAATTTAAGTTATTTTCTCATAAAATAATGTCAAAAAACAGAATGGTTGTTATGCACTCCGTTGCACGGACACGCAAAATTTTGTAAAATTTGCGTGTCAGACACGTGTCTGATACGAACGGACACGTTCCGACACGCTCGGACACGCGGTCAACATTTGGGGACACGCGGTCAACTCTCCGACACGTTCCGACACGTGGTCAATATTTAGGGACACGCAGTCAACATTTGGGGATACGCTCTGACACGTTTTTTTTTTGTTTTTTTTTTTAAATCTTAATTTTATTTTGTTAACTAAATATAAAAGAAATAATTTATAAATTAATTTTTTTCTGTTATGAAATTTGACATTAAAAATTAACAAAGTACGAAAAATTATTTATATTTATATTTATGTTATGAAATTTAAATATTTGATTGGTTATACGACTTATTATGGTTTCTTATATGTATTAAATATAAATCATATTATATATATTAAAATTTTTATTTAATATCTAAACGTGTCCAAATATAACATTTTTTAGAATTAATGTGTCGGCGTGTCGTGTCGTGTCCCGTGTCCCGTGTATGTGTCCGTGCATCATAGGTTATGCACATCCTATATATGTTGCGCTGTCACTGAGATTATTCTGAGAAATATGAAACAATTTGAGTTCTAATACGCTTTGAGATAGATTCTCATTTTTCAGTTTGCTAGCTAAAGAGAATTAATTCCTATTATTGGTTAGAGACACATTTTGTAATATATAATTAAGCAGAGGGCCATGCATCTCACAATAACATACCATATTTTATTCATAAAAACCATGAGGAACCATATATATATATATATATATATATATATATATATATGAGGGAAGATATTCTTACTACCAAAAATATCCACTACCAACTCACTACCTCCACAATTACCATTGGATCAAAGAGAGATAATGCTAAAAAGCTTTTGAAGAAAGAGAAAATATTGATCCAATGGTGATTATGGAGGTAATAGGTTGGTAGTGAATTTTTCTAGTAGTAAGAATATCCCTACTCTCTCTATGTATATCCCCTTCCTTCAATACATTAAGATAAAAAACCCAAAATGGCTAACTTGAAATTTATTACTAGAGTAGTTGCATTATTGATGCATAGAGAGAAGATTGAAAATCACACAATGTTATCAACTCTATGGTAGCTAGCCATCCCCACAAGGACCATTATTGTTCTAAATAGAAGAATGATGAAAACCAAGAGAGGAAGCTCCTTCATTAATCCTTCTCCCAGCTTGAGTTGGCATTCCATTGCTGGTATTGCGGATGAGTTCAGCATTTATGAAATCAAGTTCCTTTTGGAGCATAATGATTTTCCTTTGGAGCACTGGAATGACCCCAAGACAACCATAGACAGGATCTTTAATCCTTGCTTCAGCTTCATAAGCCAGAGAGTTCATAGCATCCTGCCTTAGATTTGGTTGGACTTCATTCAGGAGTTTAGTCACATTGCTTGCACCAAATATCTTGTGAACATTTGCAAACTTTTGAGGCTCTTCTTGTGGGAAATATGGAGCAAAAATGCAATCTGGCATGCATTTCCTTCTCAAAAATTTGCAGGCAGCACAAGGAGATTTGGAATAGCTTGAAGGGGCCATGATCTTCAAAGCATGCAATATATTTAATTAAACCAAATAATTATTAATTAATTACAACCTCTACCCTATCATTAAAACTTTTTAAATCATCATATTATATAAATCAATATCCTCAACATAAATATAATTCATAATTCGGAGTACACATGGCATCTCAAAAACCCTATCGTACATATATAAAATTCTTGTCGGCATGCATAGTAATTAATCATCTAATCGCGCGAAATTCAATTCTTTAATATGAAATTGTCTAAACTAGGGTTATGGAGACTTTATTTGCTTACTACTTTTATAACTTTATTTACTTTTTGTGCCTAAGCAGTCTTCAATGAATCCTTGTATCACTATTCATAGATTCTCAATACCAAGAAAGACGATGGAGGGAATTAAAACAAAAATAATAAAAAATATATATATGATAAGTATGTCATGTGAATAGTGATACTTCAAGTTCAATATGTATATTAATGGTACTTACACCATTAATTCAACAAGAATTTCATTCCTCAAAAAAATTGAACCAAAATCTTGACCAAACCTTAGAACATTAATTTATTTGGGCAAAACTAGAATAAAAATCAAGACAAAGAACGCGATCATTGGAAGAAAATCTGTACCATGCATGTGGAACTATTTTTTTTTTTTTTTAACAAACATTATGTAATTTCGATCATTACCTTTTTTCTCCCTTAATGTAGAAGTCTAGCTCTTTCAAGATGTATTAATCTTTAATAATGTGAGTGAAAAGGAAGAAGAGAGGGAGAGGGAGAGAGTCAATGAAAACTTACTGTTGGATGTGAGAGTTGATGGAGGAACCCTAGTTAGTTGCAGGACAACAATGACTATAACACAACCTTTATATATAATAATATCAAGCACTGAACAAGTATATATAGCCAAGGTTAATTTGCGTTTACATGTGGTAGCTACTTTCTAGCAACTGAACAAGCATATACTATAGTTGAAAGCAAAACAGGATTTATCTTACTTTCTAGCAACTTTTTTTGCTTAGGTTCATTGAACTTGAGACACGTTGGAGGAAAGAAATAAGGCTAGAAAAATATTTCTGCAGTTAATGCAGATAAGTTATCTGCATTTATTTCCAAAACGACGTTGTTTTGAAATTGAAAGATTAAAAAATTATAATTATAAAGACTATAATAACCCTGAAATAAATTAAAATTACAAAAATACCATGATTTCCGCCCCAAATAATAAAGTATTGGGCATACTATCTGTAGTAACTGCAGAAAAAGAGAACCCTTAAATAAAAATGAGAAAGAAAGAAACATAAAATGGAATGAAAATGAATTCAGAAAACGTACTTTTTCAATTTAATTAAGAATTGTATTTAATTTCTACACCAATTTCATTAATTATAAAAGTTTTACACCACTTCTTTTTTGGATGATAAATCAAGAAAAATACAAATTAGATTCTAACAAAATCTGTGTTTTTATTTTCTTCCAGAAAAGAAAAGTATAAACACGGTGTAATAATGTAATGTGCAAAAAAAAAAAAACGTAACACTTTTAAATTTATAGATTCGCCCATATCTGCTTTTTGCTTAGATGCAATTTAAGTATAGTTATGTAATTTTAATGTAAAAAAAATTAATATTTAAATTCAATGTCCGATTGTCATAGCATTTAAATCCATATCCAAATTCATTTAATGTGGTATTAATACAATATTGGGATAGTATTAAATTTAAACACATTTTCAATACTATCGCCACATATCCTAATTTTTCTTAACTTTATCTCTCATTTGGTGTAATTAATATTAATTAAAGTTGGATTTTCTTCCAACCATATTCGTCTTTATTTCCAAAATAAGGCAATCAAACATTTCTACCTACATAATATACGGGGCTTATACGGGAGGGATATTGTAACAACCAATTAGGATTATTATCATTGTTGTTAAAATCTCGATTTATCGCTACGATTTTACGATTTTTTTCATCAAAACGATTTTATTAATATTCCAAACGCTTTCACGTTTTTACGATTTTTTTACATTACGATTTTACGGTTTACGATTTTTTAATCCTCTTTCGATCTTACTTAAGATCTCGATTTTAACAACATTGGTTATTACCAATATTACTACCAATCAATTTCATCGTTAGATCGATTATGTTGATCCAACGATTATATTTATTTATATCTTTGTATGGTTATGATTCCCCATATTTATTATTTAATATTTATTTTTACCTTTGTATGTTCACATTAAATATGGAGAATCATAACCAAACAAAGATAGAAATAAATATAATCGTTGGATCAACATAATCGATCTAACGATGAAATTGATTAGCAGTAACCTTGGTAGTAATCCTAATTAGTTGTTATAATATCCTACCTCATAATATATTTAGGTTTTGAAGCATCTTTCAATCCCAAATAGAACTTTATGAGTGATATTTGGGAATGGATGTTTGTATGTATTATTTAACATTTTCATATTATGTGAGAGAATTGTAGCAGTTTGTAGACAAATCAATGGTAATAAGTCATGAGAGAGAAAAAAATATTAGGATAGAGAGTGACAAAATCATCATCGTTGATCTACACATTAATGATTATGATCATCTCAAATCTTACATGACATGATCATGTTAAATAACACATGAGAGGATCCACATTATAGTTATTTAAGTCTCATATGCTTATCTTTAAAATGAATAAATAAAGATACATCTATCTCTAAATTATATAGTGGTTTAAATATCATAATTCACTTTATTAAATTAAGGATGAATATATTATTATTAGCTCAATTTAAAAATAAATCCACTTTATATGAGTTTTTTCCATATAAAGGTATGGAACGAGATTCTTAACCTAGTATGAGTTTTGGGTATGCTATATTCATTTATATGCCATATTTAGTGTTATATTCATATATCCTGTATTTTTATTGGATTTGATCAAGTTATTTTCCAATTAATGATCGGATAGAGAATATATTTTGCCATTGGCATTTTTTTTCATTTTTACACTATAAAAATTTTCTTATCAAATTTTTTTACCTAAGCAAGTTTTCTGTACTTGATACTAAATATGATCATTTGTGAACTTCATCTACCACTTTCATAACATCCTCGTACAAACCCTCCCATGCATACTCTCGTGAGAAAGTCCATTCCTTACTCAATCCAATCATTCTTTCTCTCTCTAGAACTGGAATTAGATATTTAGATCTCGCTTTCTCTCTACAAACAATTCCCATTCGTTTTCCTATTTTTATTTCTATTCATTTTTCATTTGAAAAAGTGTGTCATTTTAAAATATAACACATTATGTTATTTTAAATGAGAAAAAAATAGATAATTAAAAGAGTGTACGAATAAAATAAATAAATAAATATGTGAATTCCATTTCTTTGTGGAAAAAATCTAGCGTATGGAAATATTTACGGTATTATTGTTGTACCATTCACTCCGTACATCTATCAAATAAATCTAGCGTATGGAAATATTTATGGTTTTACTGCTGTGCCATTCACTCCGTACATCTCTTTGTGGAAAGAATGATTGGATTGAGTAAGGAATGGACTTTCTCACGGGAGTGTTTGTATGTGGATTTTTTCTTGAGAATGTTAGGAAAATCGTAGATGAGATTCACAAATGATCATAATTGGTATAAAGTAGGAAAATTTTGCCTAGGTAAAAAAATTTGATAGGAAAATTTTAAAGTGTAAAAATGAAGAAAAATGTCCACTAGAAAATATATTCTCTATATCCGATCATTAATTGGATAATAACTTGATCAAATCCAATAAAAATACGGGATATATGAATATAACACTAATATGGCATATAAATAAATATAGCATACCCAAAACTCATACTAGGTTAAGAATCTCATTCCATACCTTTAAATGGAAAAAATCTCATATAAAGTGAATTTATTTTTAAATTGAGCTAATAATAATATATTCATCCTTAATTTAATAAAGTGAATTATGATATTTAAACCACTATATAATTTAGAGATATAGATGTATCTTTATTTATTCATTTTAAAGATAAGCATATGAGACTTAAATAACTATAATGTGGATCCTCTCATGTGTTATTTAACATGATCATGTCATGTAAGATTTGAGATGATCATAATCATTAATGTGTAGATCAACGATGATGATTTTGTCACTCTCTATCCTAATATTTTTTTTCTCTCATCACTTATTACCATTGATTTGTCTACAAACTGTTAAGATTCTCTCACATAATATGAAAATGTTAAATAATACATACAAAAATCCATTCCCAAATATCACCCATAAAGTGCTATTTGAGATTGAAAGATGCTTCAAAACCTAAATATATTATGGGGTAGGATAATAACCAATTAGAATTACTACCAAGGTTACTACCAATTAATTTCATCGTTAGATCGATTATGTTGATCCAACGGTTATATTTATTTCCATATTTGTATGGTTATGATTTTCCATATTTAATACTTTCACATTAAATATGAGAAATCATAACCATACAAAAGTGAAAATAAATATTAAATATTAAATATGAGAAATCATAACCATACAAAGATAGAAATAAATATAACCGTTGGATCAACATAATCGATCTAATTGTGAAATTGATTGGTAGTAACATAGATAATAAACCTAATTAGTTGTTACAATATCCTTCCCATATAGGCCCCCGTATATTATTTAGGTAGAAATGTTTGATTGCCTTATTTTGGAAATAAAGACGAATATGGTTGGAAGGAAATCCAACTTTAATTAATATTAATTACACCAAATGAGAAATAAAGTTAAGAAAAATTAGGATATGTGGCGATGGTATTGAAAATGTGTTTAAATTTAATACTATCCCAATATTGTATTAAGGGAGAGGTTATAGTTACAACCTTTTTTTATAACCTCTTACAACCATATATCATAACCGTTGATTTCCGCCAATCAACGGTTGTCATTTATTATGAATTTCGCAAATTAAACTCATAATTAATTATTAATT